ACACAGCTGATTGATCCTCTTCGATTTTCTATACCATTTGCTCAAATTCTGTAGTGCGGACAAGGAGTGATTTTCCGTACAAATACAGAAAAATATGGAGGGCTGGTACTTGGTAGCACTGCTACAGTGCATTTCAAAACTATAGACGCGTAGGGTTTTTGAAATATGGGCCACAACCAGCTAAAACATGTCTTAGGGTGAAAATTTTCAAATTTTGTTTTCCTCCAGAAAACAGTTCTTTGGACCTTACTTGACCTCTTGAAGGTGATACAGGGCAGAAAAGTAGTCTACAAGTGCCCCAAACACCGCTTTCAAAATATGTACTTTGAAATAGGAAATGACAGTTTTCGCACAGTCTGACACAAAGAGACAAACTATTACTTAGGCTGTGTTTACATGAGGCGTTTCAACCCGGGTTGAGTTCGACCCGGGTCAGATTTCAACCCGCCATGTGCACAAAGTGAATGGCGCGTTTACATGACGCATTGCGCTTGACCCGGGTTGAAATTTCGCCCCGGGTTGATTTCAACCCTCCCCCCAAGGGGAGGGTTGAAACCAACCCGGGTCAAGAAAATCGTACAAACGTACTTCTGTGCGTATCTCGCGCCAGGTTTGAACAGGACTGCACATGCAAATTTCGCGCGAACGGATTCACGTGACCATACAGGACTCTAGAAGTGGACTTTTGGCGGCATATCAGTATTTGACCCGGGTCAACTGTCTTCATGTAAACGCTCACCTCTTTTGTCTATCGTACAGACTTTCAACCCGGGCTGAACTCGACCCGGGTTGAAATTTCTCATGTAAACACAGCCTTAGTGGCTTTTGTGGCGGAGCACAATACAACGGAACTAAAGATGTTGACACCGACTTGAGCATGTCAACGACATCAGTTCAAAGGCATGGCCCAAGTTCTTCCTGGAAAGCAACACGATGCGCTGGGCGGCGTTGCACTTGCATACTCTTTCGATTCTGGCAGTGACACTTTCGATCATCGCCTGCGTTTCCGAGATTGCGTCAGACGCCTCATGAGAGCTGAACGCAAGTAACGTCGTAAGGCAGCCGGTTCGCCGCCTAAATGATTATGTACTAGCCCACAACTTGTGCCTCTTCGCTACTGGAGACGACGGGGACGATTCAGCTTTACTGTCGACATCAACATCAATGAGATCCCAACAAATAATATTGTCAGCGTCGCTCTGCAGACCTGCCGCCACGGACTTGCAGACACCTGAACAAACCTGGGCCATGCACAGCGATCGTCTGGCCCTGCGAGCTGCTCTAGTATCACTAGATGCGGACATTGTCAGTCTTCGCTCGCCAGCTACTTGAAGTAGAACGCCAAACAAGTGTTTGAACAAAATTTGAGAAGATGATCGCCACATCATGAATCATTTGAATGAAGTGCAGAGTGAACGCGCTCCAAAAAAACATTTTTTTCATTTCGTCATTTCCCAACTTTTTTTACGAAACCCCAAAGACGTGTTTTAGCTGATCGCGGCCCATATATCAAATTTGGCTGGAACTTTTTGAGAATAGTTTTCGGAATATTGCTCAGGATCGCTCCACAATTACTCTCATATAGTTTCTAAAGGATTGGATAACAGATGCCCAATTTGGAAAAATTTATGCACAAAGTGATCACAGATTTTATGTGGTATAGATGCTGGCATAACGGTTTTTGCCTAGGTACGCGTCTATAGTTTTGAAATGGACTGTAGTATGGTAGTGCCAGGCTAAGCGGGCTGGAAGATCAAATACTTTTTTGGTTCTTGCAGTCATGTTGACGATCTATATTTTCTTTATCATGATCCCGGGGTGTGACGTTCTTACGAATGCAGAAACTCAGTCTTTCTAACCGAGTCTCACGTGCACTGTGAATTTGTTCTTCTTTTATTCACACTGCCATGTATCGATTCATCGCTTCTTCCCACCCGAGATCCTGTGCAACAGCGATTTAAAGATTGGCTTTATCAAAATCAGAGAGAGAGAGAGAGAGAGAGAGAGAGAGAGAGAGAGAGAGAGAGAGAGAGAGAGAGAGAGAGAGAGAGGATCAGTTGTGGCTGCTGTGACAGCTGCATAGAGTGTAGATTGGTGCAAACATCATTGCCCAGCAGAACCGTATTCATAGGGACCTGCGTTTAGCAGTTGGAAGCTATTTTTTAGAATTTTTACAGGCCCAATAAGCCTGAAGAGAAGAACACCTAACTTGGGGTGCGTTCTTAAATTCTACAGCTTCTAGAAGAAGAAGAAAAGAGAAGTCGAAGAAACTGGGATTCTTCAAGAACGGGTCTCGAAGAATTCGGAGATATTTTGCAGATGTCAAGCAAAATGGGGCGCCAAAGGGACCGTGATCTTGAGTGCCACGAAAATAGTATGCGCTGTCCGTATGTGAAAAGGGAAATGCGTACACTCATGATCAACACGTGGCTTTTAGCCTAGTTCGCATGCGCTGATCCGAAACCGCGGGAATCTCCGAGTTTCAACCACCTCTGAAGCTTGGAGAGCTTCGAGAGCTTTGGAGAGCCTCCTAAAATTCCGAGAGGATATAAGAACAGCTCTCGAACTTTTCGGAGAGTCTCCAACTTTTCCGAGAGGATTTAAGAACGCACCCTTAGACTGTCCTAACGTTATCGAACGCACTGCCAAAGTAAAAACAACATTTGAAATGGAAACTCGATTGTGCATGCATGGAGGGCATGGGGAAGAGACGGAGAGGGTGAAAGTGAAGGAAATTTGTTCCGAAATCAAGAAAATCCGAGGAACCCTTGCTGCATTCTTCAGTACGATAACGTCAGTGGGTGCATCTCAGATGTGTTGTGTGCCCAGACATACAAGTAGCACTAACCTGAGCATGAGAGCTGCTTGTCATCATCGTGGTCAGGAAAACGAAAGGACGAACGTCGAAGATTGCTGACCATGACGAACAACAGTGCATATCCAGACGACAGACGGCTTGCCAGAATCAGTCTGGTGCATCTTCAGGAATCTTCTTTCCTAATCGCATTCAGCAGTCAGCTTCGAGGTCAAGAACGCGATGATATTTTCAGAAGGAATAATTTAAAATTTTTTTTAAATTTTGGAGATCGAGAAGAAGCTTCCTTTCTAAAAAAAAGCGTTCCTTGCTTTCACACAAGGTGCCTTGCCGGACATGTCGTCGACAGCACAGTGTCGGCAGATCCACGTTTGTAAATAGACCAATCCCGAAAAGATTGTCTGGGTTCGAAAGGGGGCATGTCAACTGAGAGTACACTGTACAACACATACATGGCACAAGGAGGGGGCTAATCTTCTCGCAGAAAAGGGGGAAAAGGGGAGAAAAAGGGGGAAAAAGAGGGGGAAAAGAAGAGCGGGAAATTGAAAAAGAGGGGGTAAAGAATGGCGGGAAAAGGAAAAAGAGGGGGAAAAGGATGGCGGGAAGCATCCACCGTTTGAATGTGCATACATCTAAAGTGAGGCTATTTCCAGGCTGTGCACAAGCCGGTACACGTCCACCACGGCCTCTCGCAGCCTCCTCCTCTTCCTCCCCCCCCCCCCCCATCACACACAATGTGCCGATTATCCTAATGTCAACTATCCAAATGATTAATTATCCAAAATAATTGCTTGCATTTAATTGAGGGGTAGAAGATGAGTTTCAAAGTTAGTGATTTTCGTCGCTCGGGGCACCATTGAAGCGATTCACAAGATGTATTAAAACAGGTTTGAGTCAAAATGTGTAATAATAGTGTCATTAATTTAGAGGAGCATGAGTGCACCTAGTTCCTGTTTCACTGCTGAAGAGAACGAAAATGATGAAAACATGCTGGAATATGCATGATTTAGATAGATGTGTGACTGCTCTCTTATCCGAACATTCTTCTCATCTGAACCCTCTGGAGACAGCCCGCGTCCCGAGGGGTGGGGATAATTGGCACTCTCCTGTACATCAAATTCTATTCTTAAATTATATACATATTGTAGAGCTCTTTCTGCTGCCAGGAATAAGAAAACACATCCCAGGTAAGGATCCGCCCCTCAAGGAAACACAGCTGGTGGATTCCAACAGTCAGGGGCGTCGCACACGGTACGGTCACTACGGTATTGACCGTACCACTTTTTGCCCCAGATACCCGTGAGTCAACAAAATACACTGATCTGGGATCTAAAATTCAAAAAATTTCGGCTCAGCCACCACTCCCCCACGAGTCAATTGTACTTCAGATGGCTGACCGTACCACACTAAAATACCTTCCGACGCCCCTGACAGTAGTATGAAACTCATACACAATCAATTAGAAATACTTTGGAGAATAAACCTTTGTTGGTGAAACAAAGTTGGGCGAGAGTATGATGTTCAAGTAAAACGATACTAAAGTGCCGTAACGTGAAGAAAGGAACGTAGTGCACAAGTTAATGAAGATAAATTCACATGCAGAACACAATATGCCCAGATGTGGAAATTTAAGTCAAGATTAGCAGAATATACACACATGCAAACACACACACACACAAGCGTGTGCACACAGACGCAAACACACACACACATATGCACACATATGCACACATACGCACGCGCGCACGCACACACACACACACACACACACACACACACACACACACACACACACACACACACACACACACACACACACACACACACACACACACACACACACACACACACACACACACACACACACACACACACACACACACACACACACACACACACACACACACACACACACACACACACACACACACACACACACACACACACACACACACACACACACCTTTGACCTTGACCTTTGATGCCCATCGCCGGAGGCGATGATAGCAATGCTACGACAGAAGCCATAGCAACTTGTGCTGGGATTGCACCATTCAACAGCTTGCAAGGCTGAAGAATTGACCGTCACTATTCAGCCTGGTCTACACCATACAGCTATTTGAAGTGATTTTTCTGGCCAGTGAATCCCTATTTTTGGTCTTTTCCACACACACACACACACACACACACACACACACACACACACACACACACACACACACACACACACACACACACACACACACACTGTTGGCTGCTATAATGCGATGGCAGCCTAGACAGAGGAAACAAAGTTTACACAAGCAAATTCCTACTCTTTTTCTTTCTTTGTCTTCTTCTTCTTCCTCATATTCAATTCAAGGCAGGCTCTTCTATTTTTTTTGCTTCGGCCAACCTCGTTTTGGGATCTGACCCAATTTATTGGGGCGGTACAGGTACCCTGAACCTGAGAGTGTCCTTCTGATGTCATCGCTCTCCTACATTTTCTGCACGTCTATATTATTCTTTCTACGAGGACAGCAGAAGGACAGAAACAAAGACATCCACACCATTTTTAAGACTGCATCTTCCAAAGAACACATCAAAAAGCAAATTCTACACGCCAAGCATCGGTTCACGCCGTAACAAATCTCCACGCCATGAAAAATTCGATCGAATGCCTGGTGGGAGATGCTTTTTAAAAGGCTTGCATACACTTTTCACAAAAGACACCGGATTCGTACAAGAATATGTCAACTTCTAATCAAGGACTGTAATAAGTTCTGCCTTACGTATTATAGGGGAAGTCTGCTGAATTTTTTTAATTTCAGGACCCATAGAGTTTGGGGCGCTGAGTCGAATGTTCTTTTCCGAGGAGGCTGCGGTCCATGGTTCGTCAGATACGCCCAATCGAAAATGAGCGAAAGCGAGCACGCAGTCTACCTGATCCAGGTGATAAGGTCACAGTGTGCAGCCAGGTAGCCACACCATATTTTTGTGTGCAAAATGGCCAATATTCGAAACGCGTTCGATTTGAGAACCATCTGTCGCAGCTTCTTCGTACCAAGAGCATTCGACTCACTGTTACAAGCCCTATGTACCCTGTGATTTTCAGCTCGGCAAAATTTGAGGATACCCCGTTTTTAGCCGTTTCCGAGTTGGACTTTTTACATCCGCTGGCTTCTGCGTGCATGCCATAGTCAACAAACATACGGAACATTACACTACAGTACTGCCGGGCGCCGAAGAACGGGGTCAGGGTTCTAGCCTAGCCCGTTCTTATTTTTGGCGAACACAGCAGTTTCGTTCATATTCGATGGTACAGTCTTACATGTACATTTATGCAGAGTTATACGTCTGAGTGTACATCATATTCATATTGTACATCACGTTTCTACCTAGACCGTTCTTAAAAAATAGCGAAATCATAGCCTGGCCGTTCATCGGCGGTCCGTTCTTCGGCGTCCGGCAGTACTGTAGTAGTAGTAGTACATGACTACACCCGCACTGCTGTGCTAGCGCTACGCGAGTCGTGTGGTAGATCTAAAATTAATGTACAAGAGACTAGTCAATACACGGACGTGTCATGTACTGCACCCGGTATGTAGTTAGAGAAGGTGTGCTCCTCCGGGCCGGTGATTGTGCTTTGAGAAGGAAATATTTTAGTTTTCCGCTTGGAATAGTCCAGCCTCATTTATGCTACAACGATGAGTCCACAACCGTGACAAGCGACAAAACCGCGAACAGCTCCCGGACCTAAAACGTTCAGATCCCGAAGTGTTGTGATCCTTGAATCGAAGAGTCGTGTCCGTGGTTCCAAGAACCTGCATTGTATATCCAATCGAGCAGCGTCCGACCTATGTTTGCACCAAAAATCGTGAAAGTTTCCACTGTATCATGGAAATGCCACACCCTACAGTCCCGCTGTTACCATATTTTACCGGTATAAGTCGACTTATTGAATTGAATTCAGTGCAAACAGGAATTTCGGATAATTGACCGTTTGGACAGTTGACATTCGGATAATCGGCATTCTACTGTAATCCTAGTGCATGCAATGAAACATACTTGACTGTTGGGAGTCTTGCTGCGTCAGTGCAAATTGGCAGTTAATGCTAGAAGCTGCAGTGAACAACATCACAAATAGAAAATAAAGAAAAGCAAATACAACTGAACTTTGATACTGGAAATTACAGATCTGCTGCCCGCATCCACATGTCCATATTCTACGATTGATCCTGCAAGATCTTCACTGCCCGTCTAATTGAGGATGGCACCCCGAATAGAGCGGACCGCTTCTAAACCAATCAAAGACCCAGGTTGTTATACTCCAGCAACCGGGCAAAGACCTGTCACCCATCCATGACCCATCAGCCCATCTCCTTATGCTCACATTTTGGTGTAGTAGTTGAGCACCTGTCCTTCCTTCATCAAGTGGATATCCTAAGCATGTGACTTACCGCTGGTATATCTCTGCACATCCATCTTGACTGGTTGTCAAGTCCCTTTCCGGAGAGGTAGAGTGGATGGTAGGGTCAGTGCAGTCCTGGCCACGCCATGAGAAAGAAGACATTTTTTTATCAGGAGAAGGCCAACATCCTCCCTCTGGGTAGTGCCTTGATACCTGCAGTGCAGTGCAGTAACATTAAACTGCAATTGAAACTGTCTCCATGCCATTGTTAAGCCCAGTTCACATTCGACGGGGCGCAACGGGACGCGACATAAGGATCGACGGGAAACGCCGGGACGGTCACCCCGTCACGGACTGTGCCTTATGACTCGCACCATTCGCTGTTGAACATCGCAAAGACTGGAGCATTTCGTGTCGTACGAATTGTACAAGATTTTACAGCTCACCCCAGCCGTCACAGGCCCTTACGTCCCGTACCGTCAGCGTTGCGTCGAAAGAGAACTAGGCTTTAGAAAGATTACGTGTTGGTATGTGCTCCTACTTACACACAAATATACAAAAGGTATATAAAGAGAAAGCATGATCCACCCCATCATTGTCACCAACAGCCCGGCACAAGAGCAGCAGCACCTGCATTCTATTAACCCAAAATTCATCTGCGAATATACTCACAGAGTCGTCTCCTTTACTGTGCCCGACCTTGGAAGAAAACAACACAGCAACGTAGTGTTGGTTTCGGTGAGGGCTTCTACGTTCACATGAACACACAGAAAAGCACAATATATTTCCAAACAGACGCCAACTAGTATAACCAAACAGCAACGACAACACCACAAAGACCTAACAGTCTCTTGAGCACAAAGTGTCTGGGATAAAAAAAAAGAGCAGAAGTTCACCATCGACACTGGTATTATAAAACTTTCTACAACTGCTGCAGAGGCAGCAGCAGGGTTCTAGTGCCCGGACCCAAAGCTCATCTGAGAATTTTCGCCATTGATACAAAGCAACGACCATGGTAGCAGCAGAGAGTAACAGCAGCAGCCGTTTGAGCAGCAGTATCAGCAGTCTCCAGCTTCAAGGGAGTGACCTAGCAAATTTTACAGTAACATGAAAAGTGCAACTGCACTCTTTCCGGCACCAAATATGCCATGCTGTCCCCCGCTGCAAAATAGAGGACAACTCTCAACTGTCGCCAACACCTTGGCCCAGAGGGAGTCTTTCCTTCGACATTCGCCCCGGCCAAAGAAGGTCAAAACCCAAGTGGTGTAATCATGTATCTGCTTCTCCTATCGAGACACTGGCAAGGCTTGTATAGGCATGATAAATTGATAATACTGTATGCATATAACAAAGGCAAACGCACAAACTCACATCCATGCACATGTGCACGGACGGTGTCGTTGGCGTACACACACACACACACACACACACACACACACACACACACACACACGCGCGCGCGCGCCCACGCCCGCGCATGCACAGGACAAAGGCATGTGCAAAGGAGCATGCTCATAAAAGCACAGGACAGGCACACGACTGATCTACGGATGTATCACGACATTGAAGGGACGGAGCTTGCAGCAAGCCTTCACCCTCTGGAGATTCCTGAAATACATAAATACATGTCAGCAGTAAATAGTTGCAGCATAAACATTTCCACGGGGACTGTGCAGCTTCACTAACCTTAACTTCAGTCTCCCCAGAATGCAGAAATCAGACAACGGCTACGAAGAGGTGCAGGAAATTTGAACAACTGTTTCAAAAGCAGTCCTCCAAGCCTTCTGCACCAACAGGTGATTCAGTTCGTGCTCTTATACCATCCTGGCAGGTAGAGACATTTTCTAATAACACGAAGAGCACAATCATCAAGGTGGGCAAATCCTCAAGAGAGAGCGCACCCTAACTTACACTACAAATCATTTACTGGACACTACTGGACAGAGCGTCCAGTCCATTCAGTCCAGGGGAGAAAAGGCAAAGGCATAGGGCTCCTGAGAAGATGAAAGGGCAACACATTATCATTACTACATTAATTTTATTATTGGGGGCAGACGTCTTCTCTGTAAAATATGAGGACGAAAGGCACATCAGTACTCACATCCCTGCTCATATCACTGCTCATCCCTGTCCTCTACGAGGGCAATGCATTTAGGGCTGAAACAAGTATACAGATAACTCGCAAACCGATCGTTTTAAGAGCGCAATCGATAATCGTTAGTGTTCAAAGCGAATGCAAACGATTTTTTATGCATGCATACCAGTGGCAGTATTCTAGCCCTTGCACTCCATCCAATTGTGGATACGAGTGCAATCGTGTACTTTCAAGCGCAGTAATATTGATGCGTGGCTATGAAAGAGATCGGGAGTCAAGACGGTATCTTTTCGATTGATTCGTTGCGGAAGTTGGTGATAAGAGCTTCAAGCCAAAGGGTGACGACAAGCCTGATTCTTCGTTCTAGAAACAACAACATGAACTCCTCTAGTTCATATTGATAAAGCCTAGTTCAAATTCGACGGGACGCGGCGTAAGGATCGATGGGAAGCGACAGGACGGTCTGACGGCGTCCAATGTGAACACCAGGAACGGGAACGCAACCATACTACCGTACGGATCGGGAAGCGACGGGAAGTGTTGGATCAGTTCAACTTTTCATACCGTAGACGGGCATAGACGGAGACGCAAGCGTACAAAACGGCTGCATTTTGAGTGAGAACAGGAGGCGGCGTCGTGCGCCATCCACTCCCGATTCGTACTAGGAAATTTTTAGGATTTCGAACACTGCGCTTCCCATGATAACTCGCAGAATGGCTAACACGACTTGAGTTGAATTTTAGCAAGATAAGATCTCATGTCACTTATGGTATTTAGGGATAGTTTAGGAGAATGACAGATGAACTGTTTTATCATTTCCTAGGGCTACTATTCGAATGGCACAACTTTCAGGGCTACTTTTTTTGTCTCCATGAAAAACTGGTATTGTGAATTTGATTTCGCTTCATTCAAGGAGAAATAATTGAAAAGAAGTCCCGAAAAACAAGAAATTAGGTCCGAAAGTCACCCCGTCACGGACTGTGCCTTATGACTCGCGCCGTTCGCTGGAGAACATCGCAACGACTGCAGCATGTCGTGTCGTACGAATCGTAAAAGATTTTACAGCTCACCCCAGCCGTCCCGACAGGCCCTTACGTCCTGTACCGTCAGTGTTACGTCGAATGTGAACTAGGCTTTAGACCAGTCAGATGTCTACAGGTGTCGACACAATTGTCTGAAATGTTTACAGAATACCAAACACTGAGCGGTAGCCTGGGTATATTTAGAGTGTTTGACTGGTGGCCACAGCTAATGTAGCAAAGGCATCATGGAATTTCTTCATAGTCTTGTGTTCGAGGTGCACGACTACAGCCGGAAAGAATCTATAATTATGAACCAACAATTAAAATTGATCTCAATGTCTCAGTACTCATACTCCTTGTCAGTTTTGTGCTAGCCTTGTGCACGTCTGACTATTCGAAATCTGGTTTAGTTGGAGGACTCGATTGCATAACTTGTGCCCACATTTTTCTATGTTACAATGATATTCATCGCTAAAGAGATTGGTTGATCGCTTGGAGTTATTGAATGATCGTTTCAGCCCTAATTTATTTTCACCCTGGCCACAGCACTAGGCGAAATTCTCTGACACGGCCTTTACCTGCATCCACTGCTCTTTCGCATCACGACGAAGGACATGCAGGGGTTCTCTCTGAGCAGAGGAAAGTAGCCATCGCCATTCACCGACAATACTAGAGAGACTATTTTCCCCGTCGTGGGTACTTCCAATAAAGTAATTCCACTTACATAGGTACCGTCAGCGGCGCCACCATGTTCCCAACAGTGTATTCCTATCGTGGGTACTTCCACGGGCAATAAATTCGGCTCGTGCTGTCACTCGCAAGCCATCAAATTCCTATACATGTACCTCCCTTGCGCGAATTGCCTCTGCAAACAAAATTATTTCAATGATTGGATTAATTCAGTTCTTTTCGCTCGTGCACGTCACGCCGGGTGCACTGCGCGCGGCCCATCTCCGCCCGTACATTGTTTCATCTTGTTTCATCTTGTTTCATCTTGTTTCATTCGCGGCCCATCTGCGCCCGTACTTCGAGTTTCATTTGGTTTCATCTTGTTTCATCTTGTTTCATCTTGTTTCATTTTGTTTCATTTCGTTTCATCTCGGCCCCATCTGCGCCCGTACATTGGCGTTTCATCTTGTTTCATCTCGTTTCATCTCGTTTCATCTTGTTTCATCTGTTTCATCTGGGGGGAAGACGGGCCCGTCAACCTTGCTCACCTGATCAGCATGCGGCACAGGACGTGTTTGATAGTTCGCGTATGAATGCGAGGGTAAGTACACGGTTTTCCCCTTAGTTGCATGCAAGAGAGACGATGCGACAGAAAGCGAAGCCCTTTGTAGTTTTCTCTCTCGCACTGGTAATGCCACTACTAATGGTCTGCTGTTGGAGTTGAAATGCTAAGACATAATCCTTGTTTCGCTCTTCTGTGTAGTGTGAAGAGGTCAACGAACATGTAGAGCTCACTTTGATGAAGTAGGCAAGGCTGTGAGCGCTGTGGCTCAAAGCGATAGGCCCTAAATCTTACACGAGATATTTCGAGTGCTATTGTTTGTTGCGAGCGCTTCGTCTTCGATGAGTCCTGCTTCTTTCCTGGCAGCTGCCCTCCTATAGGACTAACCACGAAGTGACTGTACTCATCTGCAGCCGATCAATGTTATACTGCACAAGAAGATATCGTTTTCGCCAAGCCAGTGCCCCGCCAAAGACCATCGCCGTGTCACACCGTCGGAACGAGTTCATGATGAGAAACATCATTCGCGCGAGCGTGATGAAGAACTACATGTATTTCGAAAGACAACATAGTCTTTACCCCCGGGACGACAACTATGCGCACGTCCTGCAAGGGGAGAATGTCACCAGCAACATCAAAGACGACGACGGCAGTATTTCGGAAACCTGGAGTCAGCGGAGGTCGTCAAGCTCCTCCGCGACCGCGACCCGGTACATGTACAGTAGGTGACATGTCGACACGAGCGTGCGGAAACACAGCATACACTGTAGAGCTGTTGCGAGAGTTTGCGGAAGGAGTCCAAGTCGGGAAATCCATCAGCTCCAAAAGCTACCAGTAGGTGGGCGATGAGACTCCAGCTTCAGACTACAACAGTCAGGACTTGTAAATAGTTGAACTTTGTGAAGCAGCAGATCGAGAAGTTAGCTGAAATCGTAGCTGTTGCAGTATGTCGGCGCTATGTAGGTTGCATTTTTTACGGAGAGTCGATCGCCACGCGAATGTTTCTCTCCACACCGAGAGCTAGCTGGTCTCCGAACTCCGTCAGGGTCTGCCTAAGGTACCGAAGGTCCTTTGACTAGCTGCTGGCAGGACTCCATCAAATCATTAAAATTTTAGCTTCAGCTCGGCGAGCAAAAGTCTCTCTCTCCTCCGCCATGAGCTGACAGTGACACACACAAACTGAATACAAAACGATGCACTTCACACGTGCTGGCTTGCACGCGTGCCCCCTTTCACGAACCCAGACAATCTTTTCGGGATTGGTCTATTGTAGGCTGCAGACCCCGCAGACGTTTTGATCAGCCCGGCGCGGCCTGGTGGTGAGATTTTGGACCCGGGAGTACTAAAAACTGCTCGCATCCCAGGGTAGGGATTTCAGTCACGTGATCTGCGGGGGCAAAAGTACCTTGACACGCATGCATGCTTTTTGAATGCCAGGCATGCCGGCATGGCACAGCTCAGCGCGGGGTCTTCGGCGTAGATTTTAGGTAGGGAAAGTGAGTTTATCGCTATTTTTATTGGCGCACCGTTGAAGAGTAGGTTTCAAGCTTTCGTTTGGTGCCTCACACGGCGAATTCGTGCCGATATTACGCATCTCGATAGATTCTTGTAGATTTCAAAGTCGCTTTTGAGGTGTTTGCCTTGGTTCCACGCTCAAGCGGCAGTCAGAATCAGATTTTACGGCATCGATTTAGTCTAGGTAGGTTCCTTCAGACGGCATGAAGGGTCGCGCTCGGTCGCGGAAATTGTTTTGAAGTTGAACGCCATGACACAGTATGGAGGTGGAGAAGAAAGACGATTAACTTCCGTCTTCCTCTGTGTTCATGGTGTTGTCCCAGGCAGTTGAGGAATGGCCTAGTAGTAGTTGAACTCTCGTTGAGGGCGAGAAGCAAAAATGATACCAAGTAGAGTTAGCATAATTTGATTTTGCTAGTTGCAGTCGTGGATGGAAAGGATTTCGAGACGATGTGAAAATTGCCAGGAACAAAATCGGGCGTATCAGAGAGTGGAGAAAAAATTTGCTGAAGAACAAGGCAAGTGACGACCTCAGTGAATTACTAAGTCATCCTTTTGAACTGCCTCTCAATCAAATTGTAAAGCAGATAACCACACACTGAACGAAAAATCGTCTGATTCTTGTCCAAGAAAGAAACATTGAACTGCAAGGAAAATCGTAGGCTGCAGGGATTGCAAATTGCATGAATTGTATAAGTTTGGAAAATTATATCAGTGTTATCAAATTTCCACACCTGAGCAGTCGTACGTGCTGAGGTGTGGACATTTGCAACAGTTCATGTCCATGCTGGACCAGCCGTTGATGTCAGTGCTGAAGCAACAGTTGATGTTGATGCCGGCGCAGCAAATGATGGCGCTTTGGAGCCCGCACCCGGCATAGCAGGTCTTGACCCTGTGTGTGGCACCAGACTTGATCTTCCATGTGTCATACAGGTGCGTGGTTGTTCCAGGCTGGTTTTTTACTGAACTTATCTCTTATAAATACTCACCGCTGGCTGGCTTCTGTGTACAATACTCAATAGCCTCTAGTATGTGTTGCAAAAGAAGGATCCACGAGCGGGATTCGAACCCAGCACCCCTGTCTTTCCGGGACAGTGCCCTACCGATTAGGCTACCGGGGATCACACGCACTCATGGGTCCTTCTTGCTACACTGCTCCCCCGCCCCAACAGGCTGTGTCCTCACGCCGTACCTAGCTCGCGGGGGGTACGATGGGTCGTGGGTTCGAGCCATTGCCAGGCGCCAATGTTGCAAAAGAAGGATCCACGAGCGGGATTCGAACCCAGCACCCCTGTCTTTCCGGGACAGTGCCCTACCGATTAGGCTACCGGGGATCACACGCACTCATGGGTCCTTCTTGCTACATATGGTCGTTGTGCGGCTAATGTGCGTCTCTGACTCGTTGCAGCCGAAAACGGGCACTGTGTGACATCAGAGCTTGCTGTCTGCTCCTCTAGTTTCCCACATGCATACTATATAACTTTAATGTTGTGTTTGCCGTATTTCTGTCATATTCCACCTATTACCATGTTGAATTATGCGTGAAATATACTGTTGCTAGGGCCGTTGCTAAGGACGCCATTGTTGCGGTCATTTGGAATTTTGAAAAAAAACTTTTATCTTCCGTTCCGTCACAGCCAGGGCCATCCTTGATCCAAGTTTGGCTACGATCGGATGAAGTTTATTTGTTGCTATGGTGTTGCTAGGGAGTATGGGAATTCCATTTTGTGCCATCCTGCAGATCCAATTTGTATGTGTGTTCATCAAGGTTGGTGCGCTATGTTTGAATGCTCATAACTTTGGAAATACTGCTTGGATTCCGTTCAAATTTTCTGTAGACAGTCCTTACACATAGATGCTTCAGAAAAACTTGTTAGTTGGAGCAAAGCGCTGCTCAGAAAAAAACGCCTGAAATCCCTACCCAGGGTGCTCAGTTTCGCTCTATCCGATCGAGTAAGGCTTCCAGAAAGGCCCTCAGGTGCGCGGCCTGCGGTGCCATAATAGTCATGTACCTCCTTGATTGCTAGTCTGTGGGCCAAGTGACAAAAATGTGAATTCTCGTTCCGAGTAAGAGGGCACCGCAATTTTTTTGGCCCAGTCGATAGATGGACTGGCATACATTGAAAACCCGTTTGTTGTCATTCCTGAATTTGTCCAAGGGTTGCACGGCGAGTGAAATACAAATCAGCACTGGTTGCCATGGTAACCAGAATCTAAAATTGGATTTTCTGGCTAATTACAATGTTTTTGGTATTATTATTTTTTCCACAGAGTCATATATACAGAGTGCCTCCTTCCCAGATTCAACTGGAAAGAGAAAAATATGATATAACATGAAAAATAAAGAAAAACAAAATGCCCAATACGTCCATATTGTTCATGTACACAGACGTGTGCAAGAAGACCGCGTGTGTCGAACACAATACTGTAACTACTTCGAAACATCATTCGAGTCATTGTATACCATTCATAATAGGACTGGCTGTGGCATGTAGGTACTGTACATTGCAGAATACTATGTCTGATCGAAGAATATCTCAGACCGTTCAATACAAAAATGGTGAACATTATACAGATATGAGGCAGAACACACAGCCGCATTTATGTATTGCATAGTTATTATATGGGTTGCAGAATAATCTGAATGTCCAGAGAAAGGATCACAACACTGTGACCATCAGCACAGGTCACTGACAGACCAGACCTGAAGGACCGCGTGACCCCAGAGGACTACGTTTGTTGCAGCTGTGTACGAGGGAGACTTCGTCATCATAACACTGACTTATACTGCAGGATTAGCCATACGGAATATGTTTCATGTTGCCGAAAAAGGTCGACCTGTAGAGAATAATCCGGTCACAGAAAATACACAATTCCAATTCCAATGATCACCCAACGTGTGGAAAGAACTAGTTCGTCCTTTGTGGACTCATCAGCGCAGCACAGAGGAAATGAGGCCGAAGCCGATGGCAATGAAAAATAATCGCAATGATCATTCCCGTGCATTTTTATATCTCCCACATTGATTTTAGTCCACATGTGATATTGATACTGAACACTGGGCAAACATCAGAAGGACTTGAATTGGGCATGATGTACAGTCACGTACATGTTCATGATTGTACAATGTGCATCACTGAACTCTAATGAACACTCAATCTTCAATCACATTATACATACCTGTCAGGATGGGCATTCTTTTTCTTATTCATCCTCGTCTTCACTGAGTTCTGCAGTTACTTGAAGTTGAAGCTCCAGTGGTTGCCCATTCTCACACTCCTGGCCCGAGTGAGAGCACTTGCAAGCATCCGTGCAATTGAGGTGCTGTCTCCGGCAGGAGCAATGTCCGTGCTTGCAGCCTGTCGTGCAACCGCATGAAACAAATTCCATCAGGCTCGATGGTGCTGGTGCCAAGCTGAGCCAGTCCACTTTTTGCGCAGCGCATCTTGGCAAGGAGGAAGGGAGCTGGATTGCGTCGAGCGAGAGCAGAACATCTGCCTGGTATCGCACTTCGTTGATAGATGTGGCGGTGTTGAAGCCGTATATACCGCAAGTGAACTGCTCGATGCAGGCGAAAATGTCAGCTGGTAGTGCGTCAAATGATGCACCGAGTGCTGCCATAGCCTTTCGAGCCAGCTCGCCTTTTGGGGTTTGCTTGGTGATCAGCTGAAATGCTAGCTTCTTCCCTCTGCCACTGAAGGCACTGGTTGTGTCACAACCTGTATAGGCATGCATCCCCACCATGGCTTCGCAAACAGGGGCACTAAGCTCTCGTGTAATTCCTGTAGCATTGTTTATGGTAGTTAACCTCGCGCGCAAATATTCCAGAGACGGATTGACCAATTGCAACTTGGACCTTTTCGTCTTTTCTGACGTTTGCTGCGTATAACATGTACATAACAGCTTCGCTGCAGCGTGTGCGTATTCACACCTGCTTGTGGACTGGACTACAATTCTTCCGGCCAGGTTGCTGGCGCCTTTCCTTCCCACAAAATATGCAGCCCTTCATGCCTGGAGCTACGACGGGCGCGGCTAGTGCGGCGCGCGTGCTGGGGCGGCGCTTGGCTTCTGGCTCTATCGACTCTGGCACAGACAGTTCTTCCGAATGGCTAGATGAGGGGTACTCTGCCTTCGTCGGAGGGTTATATTCGTTATTTTCTGGTAACATTTTCTGTGGAAGCCTCCGTTTTCAGGCCAAACATCACTACGACATAACTCCCTGAGCTCAGCTAAATTTTCTGCGGCAACAGCTTCACTAGTGCATATTTCACACACCTTCTTCCACGTTGTATGGGTGAAGGGCTTCACCTCCTCACCGCACTCCGGAACGTGAATGAGACACTTTAAACTCATCACGACGCTTACTAAGTTCTAGTGCTACTTGACCACAGACATACTAGTACAAACTGAAACCAAAAAACTAATCTCGAAATGAAAGTTCAAACTGAGAAGGAAGATGCCAAGTATAGTGGGTGCACGCCTGCACTGCAGTGCAGAGTTAGAATTGTGGGTCCGGGTGCACGCCTGCAGAGAGTGTGCAGTGTACCAGATCGTACCAGATCACGACTTGACATGACAGGTAACACTGAATTCGTGTACTTTCGTCTATTCTGGTGCATAATCACATTTCACAGCACCACACACAACGCGCATGCATGAATGCATACAAAACAATGGCCGCCGAGAGAGAAATTTTCAACATGGAAAAGCCGATTTTTGGATACCTTTCAGAAAGTTGTCAGAGTGACAACAACCGGAATCCTGCTCAGTAAGGTATCTAGAGTAGACGTGGCCAATAAAATTGCGGTGCCCAAAAGTCGGAACGAGATTTTTCTAGGAGGCCTTTTTTCAGGTTTGGCCCACGGACTATGCAGCTTGGCGCACGGACTAGTGACTGCGTGTATACATGTAGATCACCACTGTAGATCTACGTGTACGTGTGTCCTCACGATCACGATGAATAATCGAAAAAATTCATGTTCAATTATTATTCATTCTTTTCGATCAGAAAACATTTTTGTCTGTTTTGATTACTCATCATCTTTACTGTTTGTTGTCGACAAGAAACAAGACTGAATCAAAAATTTGGATTGGTCGTGTGGCACGCAATTCTCTTCAGAAGTTCAGCAGTCTACCGTAGTACGTCCATCCATGACGACCTTGCAGCGTTGAGCTTGGATTTCCTTGCTGGCCCCTAAAGCAGCCAGCTCTGCTGCTCAGATACATGAAGAAGAAAAAAGCTCAGCTCAGGTGACCAGATGTACTGTACTATGTACATGTAGTACGGTCAGGCATGGTTTTGTAGCAGATAAATTCCCGATTGTTAACCCTGTAGTGAGGATCAACGCCAGTTACTAGTACGTGCTACCACTACTGCTGCTGTTAGTGCAGTATTGGTCACTAACAGATAGTAAACTGTTACAGTTACTTTCATTGAATTAGTTACCACATGCTGTAGTAGTACTGGACAGGAAGGCATATATTCACAATGGATGAAGCACTCAAAGACGTAGCTCAAGGCAAGTCGCTACGAAAAGCAGCTGCTGCCCACGGCGTGAAGAAAACTGCGTTGTTCAACCGTGTGCATGGTGGGTCCTCGATCAAGGGAAGGCGAAGAGTCTTACCGGCTGATCTGGAAAATCTTCTGGTCGAGCGCTGCAAACAAGTAGCAGAGGAGGGCGATGCGATAAAATGGGGTAAGGAAACTATCGCGAGACCTCAGTATAAAGTACGCTGGTTATAACATACTATGGGGTTTTAGTACACGAAGGCACACAATGAAAACCTTGGCAAATTAATTCCGTTGTGACTCAGAGTTTCATGGCTGAACCAATCATCAGACAACGATATTGGAATAGGAGGCAGCGCTGGTATATCTAAGTGGAGAGAGGTGTGATAATACGATAGCGAGAGGAGTATGGGGTTTTAGTAGTGATTTCAGTACAGGACAGTAGAGTGCCGATTATCCGCACCCCTCGGGTGGGGGGCTGTCTCCAAGGGGTTCGGATAAGGAAGCGGTCACACATCCATTTAAAATGTGTATGTCCCCTGGTGATAAACAAACATTTGACCAACGAGTACCCTGGCCTGCATCGGCTTCTCGCTTTCATCAAATATTTTGCACCCCCCCCCCCCCCCCCCCCCATGCAAAAACCAAACATCAAGCCGGCCTTGTGAAGTTGTGACCAGTAACAGCATGACTGTATGGGCGTGAGAACTGTCACATGACCCCGGGTGCTCCAGGCCGAGATCCTGGCCCGCCGGGCCAGCCCGCTGGACACGTAAGCGCACGACACGATTTCAGTCGATTTGTGTGCACGCCCGAGATCCCGGATGCAAGCGGGCTGGCCCGCCTGTTGGCCAGCTCCGACTGGAGTTTTTGTAACATACCTCCTAAAGGACTTCAAGAGCATTGAGATTTGTTGAACAGCGAGGCACTTAGTTTGTTTGTACCTAGAGTACAAGAAAAACCGAGTTTGCAGCTCAAGTGGATTGCTGTCACGGCGAAATCCCTGGACTACATCGCTTTTGTGATGCAATGCGTACAAGAAACGTTCGAGCAGGCCTCCTGCGGCACAACTGCAGCTCAGCTGTACGCACTAGGTCGCTTGCTGCCGCTGGTCTTCATCAGCTATGATGGAATCCAGGAATTTTGCTGTGACAAGATACCCACAGGGAAGCGGGACGGTTTTCATGTATTATTGTTTGCGCCCAGAACCTTCGCTGGCATGCTTTGCCAGGTATCGTAACGCCATCACTTCGGCGCCCTATAAACATGTGATGGCTGCATCCCAGTTTGTGACCAAGACAGCACACCTCCTCGTTTAGCGAATGTACATTGTAGTGTGCATTTCTGCTATGCCTTGCTGCAGACAAAGTCACCGAGCTGGCGAAGGACCTTCTCAAGTCGAAACAGGATCGTACGGTGGCACTTGGCAGAGGATGGTGGCGGGGATTCAAGCGGCGCCGCTCGCACGAATGGAGCTCGCCTGATAGCGCCGGTGACGGTGCTACAGCGCCTTTGCCGACACTGCAATGTTTGGCGTCTGACGGGTGCCAAGCCAATTCGCTCGCTGGCGACATTCTCTCAACTAGCCACGACGTGGAAAGGGCACACGGGAACAATGCAGCCAGTATGCAAGCAGCACCAGCTCCCAGTTGTACTCTCACTTCTGCCAGCATGCAATGGTTGGCTTTGCAAGCAGCAGCAGCAGCTCCCAGCTGTACCCTCACCACCGCCAGCATGCAGTACTTGGCGTCTGCCGTATGGCAAGCTGAGTCGCTCGCTAGCGACATGCTCTCAACTGACCACGACGTGGAAAGGGCACATGAGGACAATGCAGCAAGTATGCAAGCAGCACCAGCTCCCAGCTGTACCCTCACCACTGCCAGCATGCAATGCTTGGCGTCTGCCGTGTGCCAAGCCGAGTCGCTCGCTAGCGACATGCTCTCAACTCACCACGACATGGAAAGGGCACACGAGGACAATACAGCCAGTATGCAAGCAACACCAGCTCCCAGCTGTACCCTCACTACTGCCAACCTGCAAGGCTTGGCGTCTGCCGCGTGCCAAGCCGAGTCGCTCGCTAGCAACATGCTCTCAACTCACCACGACGTGGGTAGGGCACACGAGGACAATGCAGCCAGTATGCAAGCAGCACCAGCTCCCAGCTGTACCCTCACTACTGCCAGCATACCGCAACACCCACTTTGCCCTACCAGCGGCATCCGCCTATGTGTCTTTCCCGGAGAGACGTCCACAGCACCGGAGCAGTGTGTTGGCAGCCACCACTCATCACATGACGAATGCCACTCGACACTCGGAGAAGAACTCGGCGGTGAAGTCATCAGCTCAAATTCCGAAACGGTATGCTGTTGCCCGTGTATTACATTGTGTTATTGCACCATAACACATGCAAATGCTTTACTTCTACCCTCATGGAGTCGGAAAGTTTCACTGGAGTCTGATGCACGTAAATTCACTCATGACATAATGTAGCAAGGAGAGAGAGAGAGAGAGAGAGAGAGAGAGAGAGAGAGAGAGAGAGAGAGAGAGAGAGAGAGAGAGAGAGAGAGAGAGAGAGAGAGAGAGAGAGAGAGAGAGAGAGAGAGAGAGAGAGAGAGAGAGAGAGGGAGAGGGAGAGGGAGAGAGAGAGAGACTGAGGGAAAGTGAATGATTCTCTCAGCCTTGCTCAACCTCTCACAATGGAAGAGGCTGGGAAAGACTGACTGAGGTTACTCACTCAGACCGATAGAGACTGGGCTACGTTTGGGGTCACGGCCGCAAATGCGTGGTGCGTACATCACGAATCACGAAGAACTCCATGACACGGGGCAATTTTACAGGGATGCTGTAAATAATATGTATTTTAATACTTCGAGACCAACGCATATGGCCGATTGGTTTGCAGGCCTGCCTGCGAATCATGAGGTCCCGAGTTCGAGACCCGCGCTGGTAGCAGGGAGCGTGTAAAGACTTTTTACGTGAGTAAAGACTTTTTATGCGTGGTGAACTGCGCCGACACCCACGGTCAACTGGGTACTCACAGCTCGGAGTGAGGGTAACAAGGATGCAGTTTACAGGGTTATGGGCCGTTACACGCCCGATTGGTTGAGAGACTCACCTACTCTCCCCTGACTCACTTGTGAGGTCTGCATTCGCCACTGAGGTGTGCAAGGCATAGGCATAGTGGTGGCCTGCGGAAGCGAAGGCTAGTTTGTGTGTTTCTGAACATTCAAGCGATGCCAACGCGAATCCCGCGAATTATTGTTATTATACTTCGAAAGAAAAGTGTCAGCACCGACGCAATCAACACAGTCAAGTAAGCCAATTTATTAACCGAACGTTTTCGTTCCCTTCTCATCATGGGTAAATACAGGGAATAATGGAAAAATGTCAAATACAGCAACTTATAGAGCTACAGCAAAAGCATAGATTGAGAACCTCACGCTATACGTGTGGAAAAAATAAAATTCAGCAGAACAAGTCAACAACAGGGTGAAGGTGAAGAAATGACTAAAAGCACAATGAAAACATCAATGAGAAGAAGCATTCCTGACCTCACGAGGATTCCCCCCCCCCCCCCCCTGTATTTACCCATGATGAGAAGGGAATGAAAACGTTCGGTTAATAAATTGGCTTACTTGACTGTGTGGATTGCGTCCGTGCTGACACCTTTCTTTTGAAATTGGATACGCCTCCAATTTTTTCCTTATATTTTAATACTGGCCTACTATTTAGTACACTGGAGGTAGCACAGTAAAAGCAAGAGCCAATAACCCCCTCGCCTCTCTCCCGAGTGTGCAACGCAACGCATGGGGTCTGTCGCGGTACGTTGGCCTCATTAGTCATTACGTAGGCGAGAACAAGAGAATCAGCTGTGCAATTGCGTCACTGTTGATCTTGTATTGGCGTATTTTTTTCCAGCTTCCAAGTACGCTTTTCGCAGAGAGTCTTCAGAAAGTTTGTGTCTGATGTACAGACTTTGCCGTCAACTCTGCCATATTATGCATTACTTCTTTGCACCTGAGCTGTAGTAAAACTCAAATCCAGCCACCTTGATCGTCATCTCGATATGTGATGAAGGCAGCACTCCATGCGCAGAGCTCATAGCTAGTAGATCGAAGTTGCACACTCTGGGGGGATTGGTATGTGCTCTTGCTGCAACCTGTGTTTAGTGGCCATCTGTCTTATGTGGCCGGTTAGTCCAGGACCCAGGCCTTGGTGCTGCATACGTATGACCCTCTGTTTAAAGACTACCTGTCCAGAAAGACCAGTGTCCCGTGTACCATGGGATGGTCACTAAGCACGGACTCCGCTGTGTGCATTGCTGTTTCTGTTGGATATACCGTACTGCTCGATGAAATTCGATCATGTGAGTCAAGTAAGTTGGCGCCCTGCTCCAGTTCAAAGCCCAGCTTTCGCAGGTTTAGCCTACACAGTGTTCACTGGGTGCTTGACGTACGTGATCTCGGGTTTCATGGAGCAGAACTGTACTACAAGTAGAGCAAGGTGCTTTCTGAGGACCATGGGTATGCTTCTATACTGTCGTTATGTGCAAAACGATTGGCATGTACAGATTGTCAGTTAGTCACCGGTCTTGACAGCCAGAATTTGTTAACATTTCATCTTGCTATATACCAACACAAATCTAGAGATGGCTAACTGTAAATGGCGTTATGATCTGTAATTCTGTATTATCAGTTCTCACAGTATTGGCTTGGCCCTGGGAATAGAGTACCTCCACTTCACTAGAAACGAGCCGTGGCGGCTCGGGAGAGTGCTTGATACACCTGGGTGCAGAGGCTCCTGCACATGAAGGGCCTAGAAACTTAGTAGAAAGGTGTCGTGCTGTAACTCGCGAAGCAGTCATCAGACATCACCTGTTGTGTGGTGTATGCTGTATGCACTAGTCACCGAGTCACAGCTAGACAATTTCTCGTTAGAGCCGTCTTGTTTCAGTGAGCTGGACACGTTGATGGCAGTGCTTATCTCCTCTCGTTGTCTTGCTAGTACAGTACGGATCGGCTATAGCGTTGGTGTTTGATTTTCGTGAAAATATCACTATAGGCGATATACTATAGGCGATGTGCATACTTAGGTATGCCTGACAAATGCGTGTATGGTGTCATTCGAATCAGTGCAACGACTACGTGCAGACGCGTGCTGTGCATATGATTATGACTGTGCAATACGCGCAGTGCAGAGCTACTTCCTGCGGAAACAAAAACTTCGTGAAGAGAAACACTTCAACACATTCAATCGACATAACAATATCTACAGGATCGATTAGTGGGAGTAGAGTCTCAGTCTGGGTCGCCATCGCTCGACTCATCACCGCTGAAACCGTTCCAAGTAGCAGGTCGATCGTGATGTCGTATTTCACGGAGAAGCTTCTCCGCGTCCCTGATCGTCTTCGCTGTTACCTGAATGTCTTCTCCAACATCTCGGCGGAGACCACGGTAGCTCTTCAGCGCTGGTACTCATTACTGCCTCCGATCTCGCTCGAGGATGCCCCGGAACAACAAGCACAGCCCACGCCAAACATTTCGAATTATTTCCTCCGAGGGATATCATAGTCGTACCAGCGCTTCCTGGCTGCCGCGATCAGATCTCACCATGTACGATGTATAATTTTTTTATGATCATCACTATAGCCGATGAAAAATGTATGCAATAAGATCATTTTGACAAAGAAATCGTATCATTATAGCCGATATATTACTATAGCCGATTATTACTATAGCCGATCCGATATGTATAGAAAGGGGTGGTTTACGAAAATGAATTTGAGAATACGATCACTATAAGAGGTATATTACAATAGCCAACCACCCTATAGCCGATCCGCACTGTATAGGTACCAACGTATCAGTGGATTTTTGAGTGTTTCAACATTCTCTTTCTTCGACCCTTTTTCAGGCATCACACCCGACACCACCTCAGAGCAGTACAATGGACGAAGCAGTCCAAGACGTAGCTCAAGGCAAGTCGCTACGAAAAGCAGCTGCTGCCCACGGCGTGAAGAAAACTACGTTGTTCGACCATGTGCATGGCGGGTCCTCGATCATGGGCAGGCGAAGAGTCTTACCGGCTGATCTGGAAGATCTTCTGGTCGAACGCTGCAAACAAATGGCAGAGGAGGGCGATGCGATAAAACGGGGTAAGGAAACTATCGCGGGACTTCAGTATACAGTACGCTGGTTATAACATACTATGGGGTTTTAGTAGTGATTTCGGTACAGTACAGTAGAGTGCCGATTATCCACACCCCTCGGGCGTGGGGCTGTCTCCAAGGGGTCCGGATGAGGAGCATGCTCGTGTTGAGTATGAATTAGGACAACGGACAACGGAAACAAGTTAGTGGGAACGACATTTATTATAGACGACGAGACAAGAGACCAAGACGAACGAAACGACTACACTCATACCTCTCTTATCCGGGCGCTTCGGGACCGGACACTGCCCGTAACTTCGAGGGTGCCCGTAACTCCGAATCATATACATCTTGATGGGGAAAAGGCCATCGATATGGCATATGACGTCAATATTTCTACGAAAAGTGACAAAAGAGTAGTAATATTTCCCCTGAAACTCGCCCAAATAGTGCCCGGTAGACCGAAGTGCCCGTAACTTCGAAGTCCGGATAACCGAGGTATGAGTGTACATGGTGATTATTGAAGAATGAGAAAGAGAAAGAGATCAAGTCTGAACGGCAAGACAAAGGGCCTGGGTAGCTATGGCAATTATGGGCACGCAAGTAGCTACCCAGGCCAACGGAATAAAAGGAGACAAAAGGTGAGTACGCGAGCGCATGCAGGCCAGCTAGAAAAGGTACGGGAGGAGGTACCTAACATACCTCCCCTGAGTGAAAAAAGATAAGGGAGCGGTCACACATCCATCTAAAACGTGTACAGTACATGTATATGCCCTCTTGATTTCATCATTTCTCATTCTCTTGAGCAGTACTACAGGAATTAGACACACTCCATCTCCTCAAAATGACACTTTGGGTACCCATTTAGACCCTCCAACCTGTTGCCATACACCATCTGATTGATGCTTCGGGTGTGTGTGTGTGTGGAGGGGGGGGGGGGGGGGGGGGGGGATCAGTCAAAGCTCTTTTTGTGACTCTGTTTTGTGCCAATAGTATTCTTGTAAAAGAGAAAGGACCAATAAGTTACGAGTTATGACTAACAGTCCACCGAGGTAACGAGATAATATGCAGTCAGATAGTGCGACAACAAGGCAAGGTACTGACAGGGATACTGAGACGTTCAACGACCTGACACCTAGCTCCAACACATCTACGAAGCGCAAACTAACAACCTTCCGCATGGAAGGTTCAGTTGCGGAAAGTTCCAATGAGGGGCAGGGCGGCACCACGAAGATGTACACGAGCTATGCCCCTCGGCAACAAATTCTGACGATTCTCACTGATTCTTGCCGCTCTAAACAGGACTCTGAGAGAACGTACTAGTTTCAATGCCGAGTGTTGTAATTCATTTTAACCCTTTACCGGTCTACCATAAGCGTACCGATACTATAGAGGACTCTCCAATGAGTCATACTGTGCGGCCTATGAGGATTCGGGCCAAAGATCATCGAGTTCACCACCGATCACCGGACTTGAAACGGAGCTTGGGTGGCAAAAAAAGAAGACTGCACTGGAAGGAAACAGTGTTTTTCGAAAGCAGTTCCATTTTGCATACTGTAGTTTGAGAATACCAAAGGGCTGCTCGCGATCGGATGTTCCCACACCTGGATCGTCTTTGAGTTGTTATCGCTTTCCCTACGATGGAGAACGACGGAACCAGTGGATGACGGACACACGACTCGAGAACTTCGCTCCTTATGCAAATACTTCGAAGCACACGAATATTGTTCCATCACTTCGTTGGCGAAGAGAAAAGTCATGATCATCCCCTGTCACCCCAGTACGTATCGAACTAACTAACTAACTTGTTCAGCTCATTTGTGGCAGCACCAGTAAAGGCGGAAACACGAAGATGATTCCGAACACTATCAACTTACTTAGTTTGTTGGGGTGCAAGGTATAGCTGGAGTTTGATGATTGATAGTGCTGATGCTGATGGTAATGACTAATGTACCCAGCTCTATTATGCACGTACCTCTACATGACTGGTGGTGCTAGCTATTCTAGTACTGGCCCTAGGTGCAACTCATCATCTCTTCCATGCGAGTGTGTATACCTCATGTTCTGCACAATGTGTATTTCCTTTGTCATGGATAAATACTCTGATCGACCTACTTGCGCAATCTTCTTCTGCTTCCCACTTGGTTGCTGCGCTGTGCAGTTCTTCATCTGCTGCGGCACATACTAGTATCCCTCATCTTCTGTCTTTCTGGTCAATTAGGTACATGTATTCAGCTTCTTGATCTTCTTGTGGTGAGGATCATCTTGATGTAACTCTTGCAAAGGCAGTAATGGAGGACTCTACCGGTAATCAGCAACTGCTTATGGAGAATGCCAGGTCGAGGGACGACCAGGAAAAAACAATTGCTGTATTGGATGTGCATTCATCAGCGTGTATTAAGATCAGGACAACTAAGTTCGCCACTACACCAGCTTGTTTTGCTACATAGGAGCAATGATGATGACGGCGTTTGACTTTGTCAGCTTTCGTGCTACCAGCCACCACATGTCAACATTGTCATACTCGTACTGATAAGGAAGAAAAACCCACACACGCACGCATGCACACACACACACACACACACACACACACACACACACACACACACACACACACACACACACACATGGATACACTGACAGGCATGCAAAGCAAGAGAGACAGAGAGAGGCACAGGCAGCGAAAGAGAAGTGAGACTACTTGTAGGTTATGGGCACGGTGCTCCAATTTCTGCCCAGCTGAAGTAAAATCCATGTACACTATTTTCGTGTAGTGTTCATTGACGGTGCCAGCCACTGGTGACCCAGTGGCGTAGGTGTTGACATTCAGCACACATCACATTTCAGTCTCCAACGTGAATTCAGTCAAAACAACACTGCACTGCAGCAACATGGGAGCATGCTTCTCCCAGGCCCACCATGCAAGTGCAGTGTGCGCCAAGAACAATTCCAGGTAATTCAGCAGCTACCCAAGGATGGACAGGTTCGGCAAAACACTCCGCGAGTGCCTGACGTTTGCAAACGAATTTTGTTGACAATTGTTGTTTCTTCCTTCGATTGGGCAAGACACGATAGTGTGCCAACCCAGCCAGCAATGAGACACATGCATTTGTATCCATCAGGGCTATTGTAAGACTTTAGAGAGTCCTTTGCATATGTGCTGGGGACATTCACTAAATATTTAGAGAGGCCTGGATACCCAACGCAGGGGGATTGGCTGAAAGGTCTTCGTCCATAGGTAAATATGGGTAAATATGGATCAATGTACTGGGCCCACGGATTCTGTCAATCTTCTCGCGGCAACGCCTCTTCAAGGCTGGAATAAACAGTAGAGTAACTGCGGCTAGTAATCCTCGTGACTTACCGAAACTATTCACCACATCAAAGAAAAGCAAAAGTGCTTCATCACCACTGCGACGGCCTGCAACATCATTTGAACCGTACACCTGGTAGAGGGGACGGCTCGATACCGGGACGCTTTGACAGCCAAATTTGTATAGACCCAAACCGATCATCAGCGTTGATTTTTCACTCGAAATATGTTTGTGGAAGGAAACTGGCATGTTGAAGTTTGCTCTGGGTCCAGAGTCAATCGAACTGAGCCACTCCTTTGTGTTGACCCATTGCCTCCAAGTTGCCCAATTTTTCGCTTCAAAAAAGTTCAAATCAGAGGTGGCTCCAAACCGGACACGTTTTAGAGTGCACGTCAAATTCACTCTGGGTCTGAAATTAGGTAATTGCTATCGCTCCACGACGGCCAGTACAGAGTAACAATGAGCCTTGTGTGTGCTTCCATTAGTTTTGATTGGTATGCGGTGCTTTATTGGCGAGAGGCGAGCCGCTGTTTACCTGCGACAAGAAGTTGATTTTTCGAAAGTCGTAAAACTCAAGTCGCAGTGCGAAGCAACACGTCAAAAACTCACCTGCTTGGTATGGCGCTTCTGGTCATCGCAGAGCCATGAAATTTTGGCTCGGAGTATAACACATCGTAGTCTCACTGTGACATATGTTTTCTAATCAAAATACCAAGAGAGAAAGTGAATATTGAGTCCGTTCCGGTTTGCAACCTCTGTCCTATTTGAAACCGTCCCCTCTACACCGAACATGCACATTTGCACATTTGATTCTCTTTTTGCCACCCAAGCACATTTTACCGTAGGACACGGACTTGTCTTATGGGTGATCTTTGGGTGGACACCGGGAAGGCGCCAAAAAGGTGATGTAAGTCCTCTATAGTATCGGTACGTTTGGCCCTCAGTTTTTTGGGGTCTTGTTGCTAGGAGACAGCTAAAATGGCGCTCTACGCTTAGCTAGCTAGCTGAGGTCCAAGGCTTTCTGACGATGTGCAAAACAACCATGCTTACCATACAAACTGGTTTGAGGGAAAGAGACAAACGGGAAAAGTCTGAAGAAAAAATTGACCGTCACCACCAGGACTCAAACCAGGGACCCTCGCTTGTAGCCAGCGATGCTCTAACCACTGAGCTATGGTGTAGTCGTCATCCCAGCAGAGGCCGTCCAACATTTTCCTCATACAATTAACAAATTAATATTATTTTTGCCGTATCGATCGACTGAAGTTTGTTGAAATAGGGACCTTTCGCATTTGCTACGAAACGAATGCGAAACGAAAGTTTGATTCGGCTCGTTAGGGCCTGGTCAGACTGCGGCAAAATCGAAATAATCCTAGGATTATAATCCGAATCTCCATAGTAACTTGCCGCCAGAGCGGCAAAAGCGGGAGTTGACGCTCCAAAAAAAAAGCAAGAACGGACCACGCTTTTCCGCTCCAAACAGGATTTGACGCTGATACGCCATTGACGCTGATAATCACTGATTTTTTCATCTCGATATCGAGGAGCTAATTGGCCACGGACAGCAACAAAACTCATAAGGATGGTTGCAAGGATTGCACTGAAGGTGTTGGCGATTCCCAAGGAGAAGGAATTTGACGTCGTTCGTGGAGATTACCACTTGACGCTCGAAATGAAGTTTGAATTTTCACTCTCCCCACATGTGTAGTGTGATCGCGATTCAAATTCTCGACGCTGTTCTGTTTTCGTCAGGCAACCAAAATTTGCCGCAGTCTGACCAGGCCCTAATCGTTTCGTTGAAAACAGATTTCAGGTTTCGCGAGTGGTGCATGGCAACTACGAATACGGCCGCGGGCGCCGGTAGTTTGGCGTACGGGTTTTTACACGCACACGTGCATGGATCATGGAATCAAGGGAAAAATGTGTACCTTGCAAAACATGTGTACCTATCCAAATAAATGTGTACCTGACGGATTCGGAGCGTGCCACGAATGAAGAGGCTTCCATTCGTGAAAACGAGTTCTCCGCGCAGGGACTCTGACGAATCCTCGAACCCAGGTGACGAATCAGCCGCGTGATTCGTTTCGTATCCGTACGCGGGGTGCGAATTCCCCTAATAGGGAGGTTCTGCTCTACGTTTTGGGAACGCGACGCAAAGAATCACGCGAACTTTCTTCGCGTTCCCGTAACGTAAAGAAATGCTGTTCTGCTCTACGTTTCACCTAGAGAAGTCACGTGGAATGTGTACTGGGAATTTCCCCTTCCATATTTGGCAGTTTTCTGCATGCGGTTGATCGATACCCAGCAAATCCGTACGCATTTTCTCTGCGTGTGCCACAACGTAGAGAACCCCATCTCCGCGTAGAAGTCTGGAGCCAAAACACGCGAAGCCGTAGACTCTAACCCAGACACCTGCTCTCTACGTGATTTCTCTACGTTTCACGTATAGCAGAACCTCCCTACTAATTGGAAAAGACGACCATCCGCCATGCGCGCGTTTCAAGAATGCGAGTGCATCTCTTGGGGCCGTGTTTGACAAGCGTTCTGAGAGCAGTAACATCACCAGTCGAGGCTGGATCTCCCGGGAGGTTTTGCAGTGTAGTGTGTTGAGAAAAAGAGCTCCGTTGAGTCCTGCTAGTTCAAAAATATATCGTCCACGAATGAAGAAACAAAATTCTCCAAACAGAGAGGAAGCCTTCTTGCTGCCGACACGGCGACAGCGACTGTCACAAGGACTCGTCAGGTGCGATCAGCTGATTCACCTGGCCGTGAGAATCATGGCATGCGTAAGCTCGCGCCTGAGTACTCATCTGAGCGAGAGTGAATCTGACGCGAGCAGCGCTGAGATGAGCAAACCGAAACTGCGATATCGTGGAATGGGAATTGCTGCTGCTGGCGTATCGCCGATGGCGAGGTGTTGGTGTTCAATGGCGGTATTGTAGAGAGCCTACATTTCTTGTAAAGACGTACCTGATTGCTTATCGTACGACTTCAGCTCCATCACGAACTTGGTATGTCCTTCGTGCTGTGATATTCGTGTATTTCATTCGCAATTGTATTTTCTCTCAGCTTGAAGGGCTACCATGGGCCCTATCTTTGCCTGGACCTAGTCATATTTGAATTTTCTGGAAGCGGTCAGGAATACAGATTTTGAAAATAATTATATGGTTTACCCATACCTACATCACAATGTGATGTAGGTATGGGTAAACCATGGTTCTTGAGCTATGACTCTATGAGTATTGCTGGTTGTGTGTACATGTATTTGCGTGACCACCCCTCACATACATTGAGTTAGACCGGCAAAGGGTTAACGACAGATTTCTCCTCGTTAACAGCACACTCGGTTACATATGATTATGGCGTTTACCGTACTATTTTAGACAATGCTGTGTGCCTGTATAGCAGTAACTTGACCTTGGATATACATGTACAGTCAGTACTGCTGCTATGCACTACACATATTCAGTCATATTCAGTCAGTACCGCTGCTATGCAGTACAGATCTTTATGGCCTGTCACAGTCCACAGTCGCCCTTGGGGCAGTGCCGATTTATACACACTCGCACATGGCAGCGCTGGTCCGTGCCGTGCTCGGGGAGGAGCAGATCAAAGACGCAATCGCGACATACCGACTAAGCAGAACTTGAAAAATCTGGGGTCGAAGCGCACATCGTTTCGGGTACTAGGATCTCGTGTCGTATCCCTATGTGCTACAACTCCCTGCTAAAAAAACAAACATTTGACCAACAAGCACCCTAGCCTGCATCGGCTTCTCGCTTACATTAAATTCTTTGCACCCCCCACCCCGTGCAAAAACCAAACATCAAGCCGGCCTTGTGACCAGTAACAGCATGATTGAATGAGCGTGAGAACTGTCTCATGACCCCAGGCGCTCCAGGCCGAGCTCCTGGCTTGCCGGGCCAGCCCGCTTGACACGTAGGCGCACAACACGATTTCAGTAGATTTATGTACAAGCCCGAGGTCCCGCCAGCCCGCCTGTTGGCCAGCTCCGACTGGAGTTGCACATCTAATCATCCCCTGAGCCTTGTACGTTTAAACTTCAATGTAACATACCTCCAACGGGACTTCAAGAGCATCGAGTTTCGTTGAACAGCGAGGTACTTACCGGTAGTTTATTTGTCCGGAGAGTACAAGAAAAACCGAGTGTGCAACTCAAGTGGATTGCTGTCACGGCAAAATTCCTGGACTACATCACTTTTGTGATACAATGCGTACAAAAAAATGTTCGAGCATTGCTCCGGCGGCATAACTGCAGCCCAGCTGTACGCACTGCAAATTTTATTATATATTATAGGTCGCTTCCTGACGCTGGTCTTCATCAGCTATGATGGAATCCAGGAATTTTGCCGTGACAAGACACCCGTATGGGAGCGGTACGCTCAGGTTTTCATGTATTCTTGTTTGCGCCCAGAACCTTCATTGGCATGCATTGCCAGGTATCGTAACGTCATCACTTCGGCGCCCTATAAACATGTGATAGCTGCATGCCAGTTTGTGACCAAGACAGCACACCTCCTCGTTTAGCGAATGTAGTTTGCATTTTCTACTATGCCTTACTGCAGACAAAGTCCTCGAGCTGGCGAAGGAGCTTCTCAAGTCGAAACAGGGTCGTACGGTGGCACTTGGCAAAGGATGGTGGCGGGGATTCAAGCGGCGCCGCTCGCACGAATGGAGCTCGCCTGATACCGCGGCCGACAGTGCTAAAGCGCCTTTGCCGACACTGCAATGCTTGGCGTCTGCCGTGTGCCAAGCCAAGTCGCTCGCTAGCGACATGCCCTCAACTAGCCACGACGTGGAAAGGGCACACGAGGACAATGCAGCCAGTATGCAAGCAGCACCAGCTCCCAGCTGTACCCTCACCACTGCCAGCATGCAATGCTTGGCGTCTGCCGTGTGCCAAGCCAATTCGCTCGCTGGCGACATGCTCTCAACTCACCACGACGTGGAAAGGGCACAGGAGAACAATGCAGCCAGTATGCAAGCAGCACCAGCTCCCAGCTGTACCCTCACTACTGCCAGCATGCAGTGCTTGGCGTCTGCCGTGTGCCAAGCCAAGTCGCTCGCTAGCGACATGCCCTCAACTCACCACGACGTGGAAAGGGCACACGAGGACAATGCAGCCAGTATACAAGCAGCACCAGCTCCCAGCTGTACCCTCACAACTGCCAGCATACCGCAACACCCACTTTGCCCTACCAGCGGCATCCGGATATGTGTCTTTCCCGGAGAAGCGTCCACAGCACCGGAGCAGTGTGTTGGCAGCCACCACTCATCACATGACGAATGCCACTCGACACTCGGAGAAGAACTCGGTGGTGAAGTCCCCAGCTCGAATTCTGACACGGTATGCTGTTGCCCGTGTATTACATTGTGTTATTGCACCATAACGCATGCAAATACTTTACTTCTACCCTCATGGAGTCGGAAAGTTTCACTAGAGTCTGGTGCACATAAATTCACTCATGACATAATGTAGCAAGGAGAGAGAGAGAGAGAGAGAGAGAGAGAGAGAGAGAGAGAGAGAGAGAGAGAGAGAGAGAGAGAGAGAGAGAGAGAGAGAGAGAGAGAGAGAGAGAGAGAGAGAGAGAGAGAGAGAGAGAGAGAGAGAGAGAGAGAGAGAGAGAGAGAGAGAGAGAGAGAGAGAGAGAGAGACTGGGGGAGAGTGAATGATTCTCTCAGCCTTGCTCAACCTCTCACAGTGGAAGAGGCTGGGAAAGACTGACTGAGGTTACTCACTCAGACCGATAGAGACTGGGCTACGTTTGGGGTCACGACCGCAAATGCGTGGTGCGTACATCACGAATCACAAAGAACTCCATGATCCGGGGCAATTTTACAGTGATGCTGTAAATAATATGTATTTTAATACTGGTCTACTATTTAGTACACTAGAGGTAGCACAGTAAAAGCAAGAGCCAACAACCCCCTCACCTCTCTCCCAAGTGTGCAACTCAACGCATGGGGTCTGTCGCGGTACGTTGGCCTCATTATGCCTGCCATGTGAAGATGCCGAGACCTCTGGTCGGTTGAGCATGGCAAGCCCCGCCAGCACCATCTCACCCCATGCTAGCCCCATGTGCCGGTGAGTTGTGTATTTTGTAAAAAATAAAAATAAAAAAATATATAAAAAAAATAGTCGTCACGAAGGCGAGAACTAGAGAATCAGCTGTGCGATTGTGTCACTGTTGATCTGCTATTGACGTATTTTTTCCAGATTCCAAGTACGCTTTTCGCAGAGAGTCTTCAGAAAGTTTGTGCCTGATACTTTGCATACAGACTTTGCCTTCAACTCTGCCATATTATGCATGAATTCTTTGCATCTGAGCTGTAGTAAACTCAAATCCAGTCACCTTGATCTTCATCTTTGCCCTGGGTCTAGAGTACCTCCACTTCACTAGAAACGAGCCGTGGAGGCTCGGGTGAGTGTTTGACACACCTGGGTGGAGAGGCTCCTGCACATGAAGGGCCTAGAAAAGTGTTGTGCTGTAACTCACTGCGTTTCACTCGCGAAGCAGTCATCGGACAGCACCGCTCGTGTGCTGTGTGGTGTATGCTGTATGCACTAGTCACCGAGTCACAGCTAGGCAATTTCTTGTTAGAGCCGTCTTGTTTCAGTGAGCTGGACACGTTGATGGCAGTGCTTATCTCCTTTCTCTTTGTTTTACTAGTATGTAATGTACATGTGGATTTTTGAGTGTTTTCAACATTCTCTTTCTTTGACCCTTTTCCAGGCATCACACCCGACACTACCTCAGAGAAGTGCAATGGACGCAGCAATCGCAGACATTGCTAGAGGCAGGTCGCTACGGCAGTCAGCTGCTGCTCACGGCGTGAAGAAAACAACGCTGTTCTGCCGTTTGCGTGGGCAGTCATCGATCAAGGGGAGGCGAAGAACCTTACCGTCTGATCTGGAAGATCTTCTGGTCGAACGCTGCAAACAAGTTGCAGAGGAGGGCGTTGCGATAAAACGGGGTAAGGAAACTATCGCGGGACTTCGGTATAAAGTACGCTGGTTATAACATACTATGGGGTTTTAGTAGTGATTTCACTACAGTACAGTAGAGTGCCGATTATCCGCACGCCTCGGGCGTGGGGCTGTCTCCAAGGGGTCCGGATGAGGAGCATGTTTGGATAAGGGAGTGGTCACACATCCATCTAAAACATGTATATCCCCTCATGTTTTCATCATTTCTCATTCCGTTCAGCAGAACTACAGGAATTAGACACACTCCATCTCCTCAAAATGACACCTTACCCGTTTAGACCCCCAAACCTGTCGCCATACTAGGCCCGCCGCAACCGGTCCTGTTGATCAGGTTATCACCGGACCAACTTTTTGACCGTTCTGGCGGTCCGGTATACATCCTGTGTGCACCATCTGAATGGTGCTTCGAGTGGGGGATACTCTAATTTCAGAAATTTCGGTGCTCAATATTTTTGGTATGAGGGGGAAAGGCCAGGTTAGGTGAACAGAAATTTTAGGTACAGAGAAGCAGTTCCCAATTGGAGTATATTTTTTTACGTGTGTTAGTGTTTGTTTGGTGTATTGAAATTTTAGGTATGAAACAGATGAACCAAAAGTACCGAAAATAAAAGTACACCGAAAATTTGTGAAATTACAGTAATCAGTCCAAACTCATTTTATAACTCGGTTGTTGAGCCAATGCTATTCTTGTAAAAGGGAAAGGACCGATAATTTACGAGTTATGACTAGTAGCAAGAGTACATAAAAACCAGAGTGTGCAGCTCGGATGGGTTGCTGTCACGGCGGAATTCCGTGATTACATCATTTTAGTGATGTAGTGCGTACAGGCAGGATTCAGGCAGGTCTCTTTCTGCACAACTGCAGCTCAGTTGTACGCACTACGCCATTTCCCGCCTCAGATCTGCGCCAAATATGATGTAATCACGGAATTCTGCCATGACAGACACCCATAATAGAAAAGGCCCCAAACTGCACACTCTGGTTTTCATGTACTCTTGCTAGCAGGCAGGCAGGCATGGTGGGATGGTCTAAGACCATGATTGAGAAACAGAGGGTACCAGGTTCAAGTCTTGCTTGGAAGCGGAAGGATTTTTTCCCGCAGTGCTGCGACCCACAGTTAATTGGGACTGGTAGCCTGGGCTTCGACCGCTTTTAGTCCACGGCCAAGGTGCAAAAAAGTGACTTTTCGCTCCCGTTCGAGAAGGACAAAGGTTTGCCATGTGCATATGATAGAGAATACTTAGAGCTTTCAGGATCTGTGTCACTTGACCCAGAAACTTTGTTGACCAAATTGATGGGATACTTCTTGAAGAGTGTTACCATAGCAACCAAGGTGATAATTCCCAATTTAGGTATCTCAGATTAAATACCAACAGTATTGCGTTGGAATGAAGTAGCCAAGGCCCAGACCTAGCTGTGTACAAATGTTCATGATGATCGGAGGTGTCTTACTACATCAATAGCATTGCTTGGAATGGAACAGAATAGCGTCAATACACGGAATGCAATATCAGTGGCATTTGAGAAAATATTTACAAACAAGGAGCCTGCACAGGCTGTGTAGCAGACTGCTGTTCAGGCTGCGTAGCGGGCTGCGGTACAGGCTGTGGAACAGGCTGCAACACGGGTTGGACTACAATGGTGTTGGTGCAATGGGTCGTATCCTTTCCATCCGATGTCTCTTCGTTAAGGTCGTTGTTGTCAGCAACGTGAAAGAATGGCATGGAGAGAACGACAATATCCGGAAGGCCGTCAGTAGCCTCCCTGCTGCGGAGTTTGCTTTCGGCCATCCGTGTCTCTCCAGCACCTGGGCGTACACAAATGGCCAAATCTGTAGAGTATGGTCACTAATCGCTCACTTCTGTGAAGATGGTGTACAGCCAAACCAAGAGCAACATGCTTTGGTGGCACGATAGTTGTGCACTGGAACACTAGGTCCTGTGCAAAGGACCTCACACAGCGGTTGAGCGTGGAATCTACTTCAAGCTTGTTGGATGATACTGGTATGCTGTCATGATGGCCTGAAGTCAGAAACCACACAAAGAAATTGTGGCGCAGGGCAGGAATACACTGCTCAGCTCAGGTATCTGGTGGCGTCTCGGCGGTCGGTACGTGCGTATGCTAAGTCGATTACGGATGGCCGTGATAAGTTCTTCCACTGATGGAGGGCGTGGTGGTAAGACAAGTTGGCGACGCGCGGGGTCCAGGCGTGCCGGCCTGATAATTCCGGGCGTCGGTGGTACGAGCGGAAGAACGGGCGTCTGCGGCGACGGCGGCGATGGTGCTTGCCGCACCCAGTCGGTAAATCGCGGCGGCGACCCCCATGGGGAGATGACCCATGGTTCCAGCATTGCGCAGTTGGGATGCGGCGGCGGTGTTTGGGGCGGAGGCGACGAGGGCGGTGAGTTGGGCGGGAGCGGAATTAGGAGGGCTGCTGCCAGTTCTTGGTCCGGAGAAAGAGACATACTCGCTATATTGATGATGAATGAAGCCCCACACCCAGGACGAGAACAAACGAAGCAAAACACAAATGGCCAAATCTGTAGAGTATGGTCACTAATCGCTCACTTCTGTGAAGATGGTGTACAGCCAAACCAAGAGCAACATGCTTTGGTGGCACGATAGTTGTGCACTGGAACACTAGGTCCTGTGCAAAGGACCTCACACAGCGGTTGAGCGTGGAATCTACTTCAAGCTTGTTGGATGATACTGGTATGCTGTCATGATGGCCTGAACTCAGAAACCACACAAAGAAATTGTGGCGCAGGGCAGGAATACACTGCTCAGCTCAGGTATCTGGTGGCGTCTCGGCGGTCGGTACGTGCGTATGCTAAGTCGATTACGGATGGCCGTGATAAGTTCTTCCGCTGATGGAGGGCATGGTGGTAAGACAAGTTGGCGACGCGCGGGGTCCAGGCGTGCCGGCCTGATAATTCCGGGCGTCGGTGGTACGGGCGGAAGCACGGGCGTCTGCGGCGACGGCGGCGATGGTGCTTGCCGCACCCAGTCGGTAAATCGCGGCGGCGACCCCCATGGGGAGATGACCCATGGTTCCAGCATTGCGCAGTTGGGATGCGGCGGCGGTGTTTGGGGCGGAGGCGACGAGGGCGGTGAGTTGGGCGGGAGCGGAATTAGGAGGGCTGCTGCCAGTTCTTGGTCCGGAGAAAGAGACATACTCGCTATATTGATGATGAATGAAGCCCCACACCCAGGACGAGAACAAACGAAGCAAAACACAAATGGCCAAATCTGTAGAGTATGGTCACTAATCGCTCACTTCTGTGAAGATGGTGTACAGCCAAACCAAGAGCAACATGCTTTGGTGGCACGATAGTTGTGCACTGGAACACTAGGTCCTGTGCAAAGGACCTCACACAGCGGTTGAGCGTGGAATCTACTTCAAGCTTGTTGGATGATACTGGTATGCTGTCATGATGGCCTGAAGTCAGAAACCACACAAAGAAATTGTGGCGCAGGGCAGGAATACACTGCTCAGCTCAGGTATCTGGTGGCGTCTCGGCGGTCGGTACGTGCGTATGCTAAGTCGATTACGGATGGCCGTGATAAGTTCTTCCACTGATGGAGGGCGTGGTGGTAAGACAAGTTGGCGACGCGCGGGGTCCAGGCGTGCCGGCCTGATAATTCCGGGCGGAAGCACGGGCGTCTGCGGCGACGGCGGCGATGGTGCTTGCCGCACCCAGTCGGTAAATCGCGGCGGCGACCCCCCATGGGGAGATGACCCATGGTTCCAGCATTGCGCAGTTGGGATGCAGCGGCGGTGTTTGGGGCGGAGGCGACGAGGGCGGTGAGTTGGGCGGTGAGTTGGGCGGGAGCGGAATCAGGAGGGCTGCTGCCAGTTCTTGGTCCGGAGAAAGAGACATACTCGCTATATTGATGATGAATGGCCGTGATAAGTTCTTCCACTGATGGAGGGCGTGGTGGTAAGACAAGTTGGCGACGCGCGGGGTCCAGGCGTGCCGGCCTGATAATTCCGGGCGTCGGTGGTACGGGCGGAAGAACGGGCGTCTGCGGCGACGGCGGCGATGGTGCTTGCCGCACCCAGTCGGTAAATCGCGGCGGCGAACCCCATGGGGAGATGACCCATGGTTCCAGCATTGCGCAGTTGGGATGCGGCGGTGTTTGGGGCGGAGGCGACGAGGGCGGTGAGTTGGGCGGGAGCGGAATCAGGAGGGCTGCTGCCAGTTCTTGGTCCGGAGAAAGAGACATACTCGCTATATTGATGATGAATGAAGCCCCACACCCAGGACGAGAACAAACGAAGCAAAACAACCGACCACAAACACCAACCAAAACAACACCGACTTACGGTTGGTGTTTGTATGTACCCTTAATCTCAGGGTCGTGGGTTCGAGCCCCACGTTGGGCGCCAATGTTAAAGGGGAACTGTCACCAAAATTTTTCTTTGTCTTATCTTGTAGCTCTTTGGCTCCTGATCACGATGGTGTTATTCGTTTTTCTCTGCGATGACTGGAAGTGGGTGAAAACTTGAAAAGAAGGTGCCCAAAATTGTCCCGAAGTACCGAGTGACGTCACGCCGGACTTGACCTCCACGCGTACTTTCATCGTCAAAAACGAAGTCCAGCCCGTGTGCTCGTCGATCGAGCCAACTGTTCGATGTACGGTGCACGCTTGCCTTCTGAACTCGGACACTCGATGTGTACTTTGTACACAATGAGAACGCCAAAAAGGGACAAAATAAACAAAAGTCGACTGCAGTTTGTCGCACTGGTACTTCCTCCACGAAGCTCCAGCTCTTTGTTTTATTTGTGATTACGAAGGAGTGGAAGGATGTTTGTTTGCTGTTAGTGTGACACACATACCTCGTACTTGAAAATGATGTCGTTGTATCGAAGGTGGCGATGTTGCCCACCCGGCTCTGAAATGAAAGACGTCGGAGTTCGTCATCTGCATCTTGAGCAACATCGCCAGATGAATCGCCTTCACGTAACTACATTGCGTTCCTTTGGGGCTCGGGTTGGTGGTGCTATCGCCGGCCGGAGGAGTACTGTTTTCTGCATACGCACTCATCATCGTGTTGTTCCTCACACGAAAAGTTCAAAACAACGACGTACTTCCGTGCTCACAAAATAAAAGATCCTCGCGGAAGAAGTCAAAAAGGTGAAAGCTCAGCTGCTTTTTATTTTGATTTGGCTGTGTAGCTGCACGTGGGTCTCTGCCTCTTTGGCATTCTCCTTCGGTACGACGTACCCATCTGTGTAACTTACAGTTCAAAAGGCACACGTGCACCGTACATTGGAACAGCTAGCTCGATCGACGAGCACACGGGCTGGATTTCGTTTTTGACGACTAATGTACGCGTGGAGGTCAAGTCCGGCGTGACGTCACTCGGTACTTCGGGACAATTTTGGGCACCTTCTTTTCAAGTTTTCACCCACTTCCAGCCATCGCAGAGAAAAACGGATAACACCATCGTGATCAGGAGCCAAAGAACTACAAGATAAGACAAAGAAATTTTTTGGTGACAGTTCCCCTTTAAGTTCAGGAAATCTCACGAAAGCAGCCACGGTCACAACAGGACAACCTAACATTATATGTATAGGATATTGACCAAGACGAGGTCTATATGGGAAATATAGGCCGAGTAAAAGACCGAGGTCCGCCGAGGTCTTTTACGAGGCCTATGGATCGGCTTGTCGTGTAGAGTAAGCCCTTTTCGGCTTTCCGTGTTATATTATTTTGTATCCAACTGCTTTTATTTCTTCTAGTTCTGCAGTGTCGCCCCACGTGCTGCGCCACGTGAAAGCGAAATTCAAATTTGAGCAGGCTCTCCGCGTACTCAAAATCACAAGAGACGACAACTGCGCACTGGGGGTCGTTCCGAAAATTAGAACCAAAAGGGCTTATTCCGCACGAAAGCCCCAGCTCCGGGGATACCCAAAAGTAGTTTCGAGTAGCCCAAGGGGTCCTCTTTCGGTTCGCCACAAGCAAACTTGGCCCCCCCCCTGAGCGGGAGCGAGATTTTTTTATCTAATAAATTCCAACCCTTGCCTGCGGACTATATAGGGGCGGTCACTTTGAGGGAACAATCCTCAGATTATAAACCGGGAATAATTTTTTTCTATTTTTCATCACGGCCATACTGGATACGCGCAATGAAAAAATCTCACCCACACGAGCTATTTTTTTGTCACCATTCGCTTCTGGCAGTCTGTCAGCCCTGCTCCTGGGCCAGAGCTGCATCAGCACAGCCTCTAGAGTATCGCTCCACTTCATAACGCAATAAAACAAAAACAAGGAAACTCAAAGAAATCCAGTGGAAGCCGCGGATGAATATAATCTTCGGCGGAAAAGCGGGGCCTCGAGCTGATTTTCATCGCGTGAATTAGATCTCTCAAATCTCCTGCTCAGCGGCAAATATCCATGGTAACCACAGATTTTTCCGAAACTTTCCTCAGTGTGATCGGCCCCTTAGGAGGTCTTTGCAGGGTGGTGGCGTTCCTGTGTATGCTGAAAACTCAGTCTAACTGAGTCTCAGGCGAACCATGAAATTTTTTTATGACTAAACAGTCCACCAAGGAAACGAGATAATAATCATAATATTTACCGTATTTCCCTGATTGTAAGTCGCACCCCTAATTTCGGGTCCATATATTGTTTCAATACATTCACTTCAGTAGTAGATCATGCTCGATTGTAAGGCCCTTTGTTGGCCCTGAAGTTTAGTGTAAAAAAAGGTGCGACTTTTATTCGGGGAAGTACGGTAGTGGATGTGTGTATAAGCCCGAGATCCCGGCCCGCCTGTTGGCCAGCTCCGACTGGAGTTGCGCATCTAATCATCCCCCAGGCCTTGTACATTTAAACTTCAATGTAACATTCCTCCTACAGGTCTTATAGAACATTGAGATCTGTTGAACAGCGAGGTACTTACCGGTAGTTTGTTAGTGCGGAGAGTGCAAGAAAAACCGAGTGTGCAGCTCAAGTGGATTGCTGTCACGGCGAAATCCCTGGACTACATCATTGTTGTGATACAATGCGTACAAGAAGCATTTGAGCAGGCCTCCTGCGGCACAACTGCATCTCAGCTGTACACACTAGGCCGCTTCGTGCTGCTGGTCTTCATCAGCTATGATGGAATCCAGGAATTTCGCCGTGACAAGACTCCCGTAAGGAAGCGGAACGCTCAGGTTTTCATGTGTTCGTGTTTGCGCCCAGAACCTTCGTTGGCATGCATTGCCGGGTATCTAGCGCCATCACTTCGGCGCCCTGTAAACATGTGATGGCTACATCCCAGTTTGTGACCAAGACAGTACACCTCCTCGCTTAGCGAATGTACATTGTAGTGTGCATTTCTGCTATGCCTTGCTGCAGTCAAAGTCCTAGAGCTGGCGAAGGAGCTCCTCAAGTCGAAACAGGGTCTGACGGTGACACTTGGCAAAGGATGGTGGCGGGGATTCAAGCGACGCTACTCGCACGAATGGACCTCGCTTGCCGGCACAGACGACAGTGCTAAAGCGCCTTTGCCGACACTGCAGTGCTTGGCGTCCGCCGTGTGCCAAGCCAAATCACTCGCTGGCGACTCGCTCTATACTCACCGCGGCATGGAAAGGGCACACGAGGACAATGCAGCCAGTATGCAAGCAGCACCAGCTCCCAGCTGTACCCTCGCCACTACCAGCATACCGCAACACCCACTTTGCCCTACCAGCGGCATCCGCGTATGTGTCTTTCCCGGAGAAGCGTCCACAGCACCGGAGCAGTGTGTTGGCAGCCACCACTCATCACATGACGAATGCCACTCGACACTCGGAGAAGAAATCGGCGGTGAAGTCATCAGCTCAAATTCCGAAACGGTATGCTGTTGCCCGTGTATTACATTGTGTTATTGCACCATAACGTATGCAAATGCTTTGCTTCTACCCTCATGGAGTCAGAAAGTTTCACTGGAGTCTGATGCACATGAATTCACTCATATTGTAGCAAGGAAGGGGGGGGGGGGAAGAGGGACAGAGACAGACAGACAGACAGGGCAGAGACGGGCAGAGACAGACACAGAGAGAGACAGACGGAGAGACAGAGAGGGAGACAGAGTGACAGAGAGACAGACAGAGAGAGACAGAGAGAGACAGAGAGAGAGAGAGAGAGAGAGAGAGAGAGAGAGAGAGAGAGAGAGAGAGAGAGAGAGAGAGAGAGAGAGAGAGAGAGAGAGAGAGAGAGAGAGAGAGAGAGAGAGAGAGAGAGAGAGAGCTGGACACGTTGATGGCAGTGCTTATCTCCTCTCTCTTGTCTTGCTAGTATAGGTACCAAAGTATAAGTGGATTTTTGAGTCTTTTCAACATTCTCTTTCTTCGACCCTTTTCCAGGCGTCACACCCGGCACCACCTCAGAGAAGTGCAATGGACGCAGCAATCGAAGACATCGCTAGTGGCAGATCGCTGCGACAGTCAGCTGCTGCTCACGGCGTGAAGCGAACGACCCTGTTCTGCCGTTTGCATGGGCAGTCATCGGTGCGCGGCAGGCCGGCGAAATTATCCGCTGGCCTCGAAAGCCTCCTGGCTGACTACTGCAAGTTTATGGCGGGGAATGGCTATGGAGTGATGAAAAGTAAGAAGACGTACCTGTTCTCACACTCACTAATCTATTGTGTTGTTCTCAACAGGGAGGCCAAGCCACGTATTAAAATTCATTATTCAGGGCTGGGTGCTGGTCCCCCTTTAACCCTTTCACTGCCAGCTGACCACTCAAGGTGACAAGGCGCTCCCTGCCAGGCTGTCGGCTGAGCTGTACACCCCCTCCCTGCCAGGCACTTTTTACCTCCAGCTCGAAAAATCGAAAGGCCTACTTTTCCTGGATTTTTTGGTACTTTCTGTACGGAATATCGCTTTCCAAAGTATACATCGTAGGTAGACAACTCATAAAGGAAGCCATTGCCGTCGAAAAAAATCGCAAAATCCGAAGTACAAACGTGCTGCGCGATCTAGCGCCAGCCGCTGTACAAAAATGCGTGTCATGTCATGCGAAAGTGCGCCGTGCGCCGCATGCGCTACATACACTATGTACACGATCGGCCCGGACACTCGCGAAGTAAAGTTAGTTAGTTGTTGTTTAGGAGAGAGAAGCAGATCCTTTTTTTCGTTCGCTGGGATTGAAAGATATGCCAGTGGACAGGAGAGCTACAACACTGGAAGCAGAAGAGATCGCTTGCGGAATCTTCTCTATCTTCGTGGCAACAGGACTTCAGTTGCGAGAGACTTTCGTCCTGTCGTTGCGGACGAAATTCTTGTTGCTGCCACCAGAAAACTCGGAGAACGAAACATTCGTAAGTCGTTTGGTGAAGCGGATCGTGTCGGTGAACGGCTGCGGAATGTTCTGCCGCCATGGTGGTCGTTTGTTCTCCCCATTAGCAGCAGTCCAAATACTTTTCAACTTCGGAGAGTGAAGCGCTTCCCTGTTCCGTTGACAAGCGTTCGCGAGTGTAATTCACTTTCACATCAGCTTGGCCTTGCAGTAGATCGTCAGGTTTTGAGCCAGAGCCAGCAGAGGTAGGTGTCGTTGTAGAAAGAATAATTATAATAATGTTGTAGCTGACATACCTGTAGTGTCTCTTGACCGTGGTGGTCGCCATTGTAACGTGGTAGTTCTTAGAAAATTTTAGTTCTGGACCCGGTGACCGCCGCCAGCGCTGTTTCCGTCAAGTTTGCAGTGAATGCGTCCGCTAGGAATCTATCATCTGGTTGTCTCTACCCGTGACTCTAACCGCCTATCGCAACGGATAGCCGCCTGGAGTCTTGGGTAATAGCTGGGCATCAAGTCTGAACCAAATTCCATGCTCCGTGCAATGAAAGTTGACGGGAAAGAGGAAAATACTCGCACCGACTCAGCGAGGTGGAAGTGCGTGAGAACCGGTTTCTTCCTCGCCGATCGGCTAAAAATCGGATGCGCATTTTCAATGACGCTGGTTCGATTTTTTTCAAATGGCAACCCATACTTCTGGAAGCGTATTTCGATGGGTATGGACATCTTCCAGGGCCCAGTGGCCGTCTACCACGGCAAAACATCTCCAATATTCGAAAATAGAGGCACGAACTGGGTGAGGTCTGCCTGTCGACGGAAGTCGACAACAGCACTGGGGACTGCATGTTTACTCGTCGACGCAAGTCGACAATGGCACTCGGAGTGCATGAATGCGCTGTCGACTGCAGTCGACAGCGGCAGTGAAAGGGTTAACCCTTTCAGCCCTGACCAGAAAATCACCTCCCACTGGGCCAAAAATGGCAATTTTTGAAAATGCATATTCTGGTCCAAAATTGGTTGGAGATGTTGGGTATGGACATATGCACTGTGAATCCAAAGAAATTGTGTAGGATTTCATTGTACGAGACTCATAACACCATATTTAGATATGCGACTTTTGGCGATTTTTCCTCAAAATTCATTCAATTTGGGCAATTGATGACAAAGATCAGGCAAGCAATGGCAAGCAGTGCTATAACTGGTCAGTGTTGACTTCAGAATGGAGAAATGTCATAATTATAACATGCTTGATATGATCCTGGTGTTCTACGGCAACCTAGACTAGAGTACAGCAACTCGTTTTATACGGCGCTTGCATCATATACGACTTCGCGATCCAGAATGGGTCTTTCTTTTTCTTGGGCGCCTCGTAAAGCTTGAATCCTCCAGCAGCCCTCACGGCTGTTCTGAGTGCGACATTTATCAATATGGCGGCGTACCGTAGCAACCAGCATCGCAACAGCTCGCGTACGCACAGCGTGCCGACGCGTGCAGTCTTTCTGCACATTTTTCAAATTTATCGAAGAAAGTTTTTTTGTTTTTGGGGCGATGGATTCGTGCCTTGGGGAGGTCGTATGAGGCCATGCTGGAGGAGAATAAGTCTACCACCAAGACCTGGAAGCCTCCCTTCGGCGAAGTACTGAAGTTGGTATGTCCTGGAGTCAATACAGTCAATACAGGAATTGTTTTCAAGACGATGCAGTGTAATAAATTCTAGTAATGTAGTGCATCATGGAATTCGGTGTGTTTGAAACTTCGGAACAAGAAGGGGGCACGTTTGCTTGACTCACTACCATCATGACGTGAACAGATGGAACCCCACTGCTCTTATTCTAGAACATGTTCTCCCCTGAGGACAGCTTACAGCCAGATTTCCGTGCATAAGAAAAGAGCACAAATAAATCGTTAGACTGATTGCAATTCACCTTGGAGAAGGATAGAATTCGATCGTCTGCTACTCTCTCAACGCAAAGTTGATGACATAGCAGCTACATGTACGTCTCTTCATGCGTGTGCTCTTCACCTTGGGATCAATGAGGATATTAGGATTGCTGGAAATCAGATTCTGTATACTATTGGTCAGCAGTTTCTGCATTGCACATGCTCCACAGTGCTCATCGGCAAGGATGTTGAATTTGCGTGTAACCCTTCACCACCCTACTCTCCATACTATTCCAGATCAGCACTAACTGAACATTGAAGTGTTTCATTTCCAGTAGAATGTGCTCCTCCAATAAGTGCGGCATTGGAGGCGGTGATATTTATTGCCACAGTTGCACTGCTGATCTTCGTCATGAAAGTAGCAATGGATGATGATCAAGTCAACCAGTGGGCTTGCAGTGATAAGCAAAGTACCACAATACATCATCAAGTGTCATAGCATGGCGGAATTGGTTGCCCGCAACGCTTCCATGTTGGTGTTGTTAGGGGCCGTCCGTAAATATCGATGTTTTTTTAGAGACGATATTGGTGCGTCTGGGGGGGAGGGGGTTTGAGCCATGTGCGTCTTTTCGAGCATCAGAAAAATATCGATGTAACTCTCTGAAGTTTCGCCGATCCCTGCACGCGGACGTCTAAATGGCTATACAAGAAATGTGAAACCAGCTTCCGTTCGCGGAGCTAAAACTCGCGACACGAGAACAAAATCAAAAATTGGAAGCTGTACGCCCATGGCGAATTTCAAGAGCAAAAGAATGAGCTATTGATTGTGGAAATCGGCCGAACGATGCCTGCAGGAGACCTTTTTCAAGACGTAGAGGCAGTGCGAACAAACACGGACGAACTCCACAAGAGTTTCCAGTCTTCACTGTCTGAACAAGGATTTGAAAAAATTCAAGCCCGAGCGTAGCCGCTTTGTCTACACCAGTACACGATGGCTGTGAGCACTGCAGCGCCAACCCGGTTCGCTCCCCCCAGGCGATGCAGCTATTGCGTGAGTGCGGCGGGATTTTCACGCCTACACCGGACCCTCAACATCCTGGGCACTTCATGAGCATCCAAAAATATTGATTCCATGATCTAGATGTACATGTGCGTCTTCTGGGGGGAGGGAGGGGGGTCAAGGGAGAGAAGCACCAATATCGTCTCTAAAAAAACATCGATATTTACGGACGGCCCCTTAGTGTACAAATAGAGGATATCTTCCAGTCTCCAACTTTTAAAGCACATGGACCTGCTATAGGTGTTATTCTTCTATCAATGCTTGTTTCAAGTCACAGAATTATTTAGCTTCTTACAGCTTTGATTTAATTCGCCGTATTGTAATTAATGTGAAGAAGAGGTTGATGCGACTCCGGCGATACTTGGGGAATTGTGGAACGTGGCGATACTTGGGGAATTGTGGAACGTGGGAGCTTGCGCTATTCCTGCCGACTTGAATTCTCACTTGACCGACTTGTTATTTTAAAATGAATCCATGGACATCTGTCAATTCAGCAGGTGAACTGCATTGCCATCAAGCCCTGAGCCAGCACCATAGGAATGGCATGGTCATGAAGATGCGTGATGCTGTGTATCTTATTCGCATCAGAATAATAACCTGGTTGTTTCGGCTACACACTCCGGTAGCAACAGATACTCTGCATAATGCAGCTTGTACAGTAGTCCTCACTAAAGTAGAAAGCAGTTTAGAAGGGACTCTAGTGAGGAGTGTACAAGGATAGCCTATTAGTGTTCTACATAATTATTTGCATATTTAACATGTTACATGTAATTATCATGAACGCCGAGAGTGGTAAAACCGGGTACGGCCATCACCAGCGGCCCTGTCCTGAGTGCCATGCTGTGCTTAGTGCTGATGTAGTGCAAGATATATAAGCTGCATCATGGTTGTCGTTTGTTGTGGTTCAATTACTTGAAGTATTTCAGTATGGTCTTTACGCATGCAAGTGTGTGCTTTTCAGCAGGATCGTCGAAAGACTACATTGTGCGTGGCCTAAATCTGCAGTAACACTAGTAATACAAAAAACCCATGCCTATGTGTCTACACGTAAGGCCTCAGACAGATGGGGAATCTTGCATCTCTGACATTTAAAATCTCTACACAATGTCCTGTTTCTACATACATTTCGAAAGCATGGATTTCAAAAAATGTTCATTGGATGCATGTCTGATTTGTACTTGCTAACATCCAGAACGAAGCATGCACGGATCCCTCCTATGGCGGACGAAACCGGGGTCTTCGTTAGACATTGAGGCAGGAGAACACACTTCCACTCGTCCTGCATTATCAGCAAACACTTGCAATTGACGTCCAAGTACGCCACGCAAATCGACTTGGGCACGAAAACGATAATCTGGGCGGCAATGAAAATATAACTACGACGTAGGAAAAGGACAAACCTTTCAATGAAAATTGGCGTGAAGGCTGCCAAAAATTCTGCACCCCTTAGGAGGAAGCCTCGAATGTGAGCCAATTCTGATAAACGCCAATGGCCGGCACGACGAGGAAGAACGAAACGAAAAAGATCGTAACTTCACTTTCCCATTGCGCATTTTGACGATCAAAATATCTGCTTGCGCAGCTTGAAGGCAGGAAGGTGAATTCGCTTAGACTTCCCGAATCCAACGTAGAAAACGGCTGGAATCGACAGAAACATAGGCGAAACCTTGCCGAATATTTCCAGAGATTTGAAAAAGGCAGCAAGGTCGCGTACGACAGCATCATGGATCACTGGGGCGACGGGAAAATGTCGTACCGTACATAATGTCGCTGGATTATGCATGCATAACAGCCGTGCCCTACCTACTTCAAGACAAAACCATATGATGGACAGTGAGGATGCCGAGTAACTGGAGTAGCAACCACAGCAACTGCATCAGCTATAATAGCAGCCGGTGCAGTGGCAGCGGTTGGCTTACTGTGCTCGGCGCATCCCAGGGTGATTCATCGCTGGCCGCACGCGTACGTACGCGGCACAGGTAAAGTCATATTGATGGAGAATGCAATGCTGCTCATTCTCTGATTTGGACAGTCACTGGCAAGACAATCCAGCTATCAAAATAGTCTGAAGCATTCCCTAAACAGCGGAGTGCATACTGCGTACCGGTGTACGTACGCATGAACATTCAAGAAACAATCGGCTGCGCAATTTCTGATAGTGATTCAAAATTGCACAATTGTTGACTATTCTGGATTATTCTGGATTCATATAGATAGCAATCTCCATCCTGTAGGTGCCGGGCTCTGTACTCAACATACAATACTTACATGTATGCACATCTCTATTGTGATCTGCATGCATGCCTGACCAGTACACTTGACTTCAAATTCAAATATTTTCAAAAATCTGACCTTCAAAATTTGATCGCAGTTTACTTGAGTAACTTCAGCAAACGGGCTCGCGACAGATAGCTCCTGCTCAGAACACCATGCCTAGGTGTCAGAGACTTCAGCATCGCTTTCCAAATCTCTTTGGTCTCCAGCATCCCCTGCGTCCGAGTCAGCTGCGATCTTTTGAATAGCAGCAAATTCGTAATCCTCAGAAAACGACTCCGACACAATTTCGCTGTCTCCAGAATCATCCTCAGAGTCATTACCCGCCTCACACTGCTTCACAGGACTCCTGCCATCGGCACAGAGTAGTTGAGCAACTTACCTTGCCGAGAAACAGCAGGGCAAGATGACGAAAACGACCTTTGAGCAAAACAATTTATTTGAACGATATGCCAAAAATACGCACTTCAAACTCGATGCTCGCGGCTGTTCTGCTGTGCAGACTGGCCACATACGCTGCGTACACGTCGATCAGGGCCTTCAGCCCACTGAGGAACAGATCCTGGCCCCACTGATGTTGAGGCATCAGTACAAACGCGACGTACACTGAGGACGTATATATACGTCGTCAGTGGGGCAGGTGCATGACGTCATGACGTATATATACGTCGACAGTGGTGAAAGGGTTAAGGGCACAGTCACATACATGTATGTGTAGGATGGCTGGTGCATGTCATTCATGGTCGTTATGGGCACGCTGAACGTAAGTCAAAATTGTTAGGGGGGTGCACATGCCTCCCCCCCCCCCCCTGTGCCCTATGTGGGCTATTGCAAGTCAACAAATATTCGGTGCATATTTATTTTTCGGCTATTTTCGGCCTGGTCATGTTTGGCCGAAAAATTTTTGCGGCCGAAAATTTGTTTTGCAGGGTGCAGTGTGACAATGTATACAGGCGGCAGCAGTACAGGCCGAAAATTTGACGTCGCTGAAATAGGTTTTAGCCCTGGGAGGTCGGAATTTGAATGGGCGAAAATTTGTAGACTCACAGTACGCGCCTGTTATTGCAGATCATAGCCTCTACCCAATCCACGTGTGAAGGCCACTCAGCACTGCTGGTCTAATCTTATTTGTGCTGGGTTGTCATGCAAACTTTTACCTGGTATAAGTATGCTTGTAATAGTATTTTGACTCGCATGCTGAAGATCTACTACTTTTACAGTATTGGGCCCGCACTCGATTTGTGGCTGGCTTGGTTGGATTGTATTCGTTTTTATGAACGAATCGAACAGCGTGTTGCTCGAGGGTTCTTTCCGCACCTGTGTTATCATGGATGGCCGTGACTGCGGAGGATTTGAACTTGTTCCCGGGCTTCGCGACCGGACAAACGAGGCTAAACGTCTAGACTGTACTCCAAGGGAGTGACACAGGGCAGGAGGTCCTCGCTTGCCTGACTCAAGAGAGAGAGAGAGGGGCGAATATGAAATTTGTCTCCCTTCCCTAAGTTACTTCTAGTACATTGTTCTCTCTCTCTCTGTCTCTCTCTCTCTCTCTCTATCTTTCTCTCTATCTCTCTCTCTCTCTCTCTCTCTCTCTCTCTCTCTCTCTCTCTCTCTCTCTCTCTCTCTCTCTCTCTCTCGCTCGCTCTCTCTCTCTCTCTCTCTCTCTCTCTCTCTCTCTCTCTCGCTCTCTCTCTCTCTCTCTCTCTCTCTCTCTCTCTCTCTCTCTTCAAACTACTGTAAACCGGGAAACGCTGGTTTTAGTCCGCGATTTGCCAGCACAGACCAATCTGGAAATGGTTGTAATTTGAGTCATTTCCCTTAGTTTTTTTAATACAGTTCTACCATGGTGCCGGATTGCTTTTGCAATTCCTTATCGTGAATGTTGCCAGATCGCAAAGGTTTCCCGGTTTACAGCATGCCACCTGACATGTGCTTGCGAGACGACGTTTCCGACGGAAACTCTAGATACAGGACGTGAAGCAGATTTTCCCCGGCTGCAGCTGATTGTAATTCCTTGTCATGTACGATAGAGCGATTACGACTTGAGACTGGCAGACGATCGGGCGTAATTTTGTCCCCAGTGAGATGAGGCAAAGCAGGTGGGTCCGTTGATTCGAACCCGGCCACTCCTGATCTCGCTGCGGCAAATCAAGCATGGATACAAATCTGATCAACACCACTGATCTTGACTGGGATAGTCGGATTTTGCGATGGGTTTATTCTACTTGGCCTGGAGACATATTGAAATTTACTCTCGTAACATATTTATATCGAGTGAATTTTTTATTTGAAATGTGGCATGGGGTTTTCAAGTGTTTGCTGATCTCTTTTTTTTGTGGTTGTGCATTTCTCCTTCACATGGCTACAGAAAGTGTGCAAGAACTGGCAGAGGAACTTCTCAAGTCAGAGCGGGGTAGCCCAGTATCGGTCGGCACGGGGTGGTGGCGCGGATTCAAGCGGCGCCACCCGCACGTCAAGTCCACGCCGCCCGCGGTGAGCGGCGCTAGCTCCCAGTGCGGGGCGGTTGGCGTTTCCAGCGCGCCTGCCTTGGCACTGCAGTCGCTGGCGTTTGCCGCTAGCCAACCCCTGCCACTGACCAGCGGCAGCACCAGCACACTCTTGCCGGCCGTCCAAGGCATGGAGAATGCAAGTACAAACACTGCACCAAGACTGCAAGCAGCAGGGCCAGTGCTTAGTAGTGCGCGTGCTAGCGGCGGCCAACCGTGCGTCATTTGCGGGGAGGCGGCTGTGGAAGAAGTACACCAATGCGACACGTGCTGCTATGCTTCGCATCCCCAATGCCGCTCGGCGCTTCGAGCTGACGTCACCTGTCCGAATTGTGACGTGCTGTGTTGATGGCCATGGGATGCGTCCCACCGCAATCCGGTTGTGCGTGGGAATGCAACTGTTGTGATTGTGACTACAACGCTAAGCATTGCCGTGACTGAGTCAATCCCGTGAATGGCTCGCAAACCATGAATTCACTCATACCATGTACCATACCATAGAGAGGGGGGGTAATAAAAAGGAAAACGAAGTGAAAGACAATGTACAGCACTAGGTACAACACTATGTAGAAGGCAAGAAGTACCTCCTGTACTACTTTGAAGCAATTCCACAAAACACATCAGGCCATCAGGCCACACCTTACATATCTCAGTCTGCTGCATTAATTAGTATATCGAGTGTTATCCAAACCTTCTTTTAAACAGAATCATTATCATTATCCTTTGTTCTCACGATGCCAACTCGCACCAGTAAGAGATACTAATACCAGTCTTACTGTACCCTCAAAGCTGCACTGATCGAGCGCTGTTGTTTACTTCCTTGTATACAATGCCTGGCACCCCAATTATATCCCCTCGCTGTTCCTTTAAACTCACTGACTGCCTCTTTTTTTTTATCTAGTCAAGATTTACTTGCGCCTCTTGCTCGTCTTTTATCAAAAAAACTGCAGTTCAAGTCGTATGTTGGGGCATGTGATGCCTTCGAGTATGTGTACTAATTTAATGATTCCGGCAGTCAAAGTGACTGGTATGTACGTGTTCACCAATACATGCCTCACATATGCTGAAAAGTACATGTTGGAATTTTCAGTTCGGCGCTTTTCCATACGCATGACACCCCCAAAAGTCCACGAAAATACGCATGAACGCATGGTTTCACGCGTACAAGCGCCAGTTGGGAACACACGGCTTTACGTTGTTTTCATTATCTTGTAATTAGAAACGCTTTTTTCTGTCGAACTTGCGGGAAAGTCCTTTTTAAAACTGGAAACATTTTACCAAAGTACTGGTCAGTGAAAGTTGACTTCATGAATACTGTTACTTTCTAGTCACACTAGGGACCGGCGGATTCTGCTCGAAAAGGTGGCAGATTCTGCTCGAAAAGCAGTGAAATTGGCAGAACCATACAAACCTTATGGCGGGCAATTCCTCGAATTCTGCTCCATTTCTTTATCCACATACCAAACATGCATGAAACTTACCAGAAAAAGTACCGAATTCTGCCAATTTTCTGCCGGCAGAATCCGCTGGACCTACAATGTAGCTTATCCGGTCCTCTTTTATCCGGATCCGTCGCCATCCGGAAGAAAATTGTAGGTTACCGATGTACAGCATTTGCCATGCATACACACAGTGTGTGTGTTCGATTATCCGGTTCCCTCGCCTATCCGGATATTTTTGTGGAAAACGGATGTGTGCGGTTAAGCGAGGTCTGACTGTACCAATAAAAGCCTGTCTTGAATAGAAGCCTGGTTTTCAAGATACTCTGTCGGCACATGTACATAACCAAGAGTAGACAAGTAGATAAACAAGAGTGTGCAACTCCGGATCTCTCCTGCACAATCTGCAGATGCCCCGCCCACGGCGGAATTTTTTGTTGACGTCACCTTTTTTTCAGAAACGCGGACTTTGCCGCAGAGCAGTGTGAGCACGTGCTGGGCACCGACCTTGTAGTGTAAAGCCCGGCCAAGTGCACGAGGGAAACCTCTCCAAAAGGCTCGCAGTGTGTGCGTCGTCGAAAAGATTACGTCAACAAAAAATTCCGCCGTGGGCCAACCCATCCGCGAGTTGCACACTCTTGTTTATCTACTCTTGACATAACTCATAAGCCTGGGTTTAGTGTTTTAATACATAGAAATGCCTGTCTTGTATAGAGGCCTGTCTCATTGTAGAAGCCTGCAAAATGTCCGCAAGAAAGTCATAGAAGCCACGGCTTTTATACACGACTTTACGGTGATAGTAGAGAGGTTCCGGAGTACGATTTTTCGTGCCAAAATCCGTAGACGCGCTACGGATTTTTTTATACGTCGTTTTGAGCAGTGAAATGTTCCGGAGTACGGAACTAATAATACTTATGTGTTTGCCGTCATTGCCTAGGTTACGATCACAAACAAAACAATTTAAAAAGTCACATTCCCGCGCTATGCCTTTTTCTTTTGAAAATAATTTGTATCGAAATCAAATCCTCCCGAATTTCAGTGGCTAGCGCTAGTATTGGGCTATGTCTTGTGTTCACTTGCCATCATCACCTAGATTGGTATTGTGGTACAGTAGTAGCGCTCACATGTATGTACAAATCAGTTCAACACAATGTGCTGTGAGTGTACACGGTGCGCAGACACATCAATCACCGTTACGGTTAGCTTCAGCCACGGCCCACCGGGTAACTCTTTCCAACTGTTATACTCCTCAGAGATGCCAAACTAACTACTCTATACAATCATGATCATGGCAAGCGAATCTGACTGTTCAAGTCCCTGATCAGGGCAAGTGCGCTTATCATGATGGAATGATACATTATTATTGTACTGTCTAGATGCAATCTCCTATTGCTAAACTTTGGCGCGGCTATAATTACATGTACTTCACAAAGTAGTGCTATCTGACCTTTGAGCACTAGCTCGGGGTCAACTGGTGAATATCAATTGTACGAATGGCGGCGCGGAGACAACAACTTGGCTGTAACAATAAAAAATCGGCAAAGCGGACATTGTACGTAGCAATAACAAAATATAAGAATAAAAATATGAATAATACAAATTCCTAATTGATTTTCAAGAGGCATTCATCCGAGAAATACGTCTCAACAATGAAATCTAGCAATAAACAACAATATATACGTGTAAGAGTACTGGGAAAGTAGAGTGTGAAAAATAATAGGAGAGAAGTAGGTGAAGTGCAACAGGTTCGGGAAAAGGTTTGAATATATTCGTAATATTAGCAGAAGATTGAATATGAGACTCAGCTATCTGTTTTATCTCATGCACCCAGGCCTACGATTAGAATAGGTGACTGTGACGGTGAAGCCGGCTAAAGTACAATGTAGAACTAATCTAAAATATCAATATAGTCATTGTAGTATTGAAGTATGCTGTATGCGGGATGAGGCGACCCAGTTTGGTTGTACACGTGAGGATTGTGCTATTAAAGGGAATCTACTTTTTTTAAAGATTGCCTATCAATGTCAAGCCAAGATTGGAGGACACAATGTGCCAGGAAGTGAACAAAAAATAGTAGTCGACACCTTATTAGTGTGACCTACAATGCAGCGCTACCGGTATGCTGCAAAGAAATAATTGAGTGTAGTTCTAGGCTAGATGTGATCCACTCGCCCGGCAGCTCCTCTTGCTTGTTCATGGAAGCGGGACTGGCTTGGCATGGAGACGCAGGCAGTCGCACTGTGCATCCTATCGCCAACGCAGAATAATCGAGTAACGTTACCGGGAGCCGCTGCAATCGACCAGCGAAGCGCCATGATCTAGTTAATGGTGCATGACCAGCAGTTCGGTATTTCCCATTAGACACGGTAGCTGGGTAAGCAGTGAAGTTACTATTGCAAGTCGGTGTTCATGTAGCCTCCATCTTCACCACCCTCCTCCGCATCATCACCGGCCTCTGGGTCTCCCTCTGAAAATACCGGATTTAGTTTTCCGAGTGGTATCGCACTGTCCAAGCTCTTTCCGTACAGAACGTTCGGTACCATGTCTTCTTTCGTTTCGTCTGGCTCTTCCTGACAAGTGTTGGTGAAGGTGATTGGCGAGTCAGCACTTCCGCTCACGGGTCGCTTGATCCGACCTTCATCTGCTTTCCTCAAGCTCTGGCTTTTTCCCGGCTTGCCCTGCTTGGACGAAAATGAAAGCTGCAGGGACCAGACAACAGCAGAAGAATACTACCTAGTGCATTGGTGCTTGGTGAAATCAGACCCAGATTGCATATTTGGCACCCTCAACTTGCACGGCCCTTGATGCCCTGGCAGTGGTACGAATACGGCTGGGCGCACATATGTACAAGTACAGTGATGTAAGCGGAACTGGTCCGGGGCATCAGCTTTGCACCTTGGGTCGGATTTCAGTGAGCACAACTGTAGGTGAATGGAGTTTCGGATCCCCCGATGAGGCTTTTGAGGACACAGTGGAGACAGATAACACACTGTGAAAACTTCAGTATACAGCAAGCACCCTGGGTATGACATACGCATTTCTTTGCATCGGATATGAAGTACTTTGTTTGATGGCCCTGGGTCTCCCTTTCCAGTCATAATTTTATGACTTTGAATATAGAACTCCTCGGCGATAAGGTTCAGATCTTTTTGTCCCTCCGCTGTATTTTTTCTTCGAGGTATGTTGTACTGAAGTTTCACTGCACCCAGTGTGGGCACACGGTTGTACGATGCAATGCAAGAAACAGATAGATAGCTAGGCCTTGATGAAGGGAGAAAAAATGGCAGCGAGAGACAAAGGAATATGGGCCTTGCTCGGTATTTAGGATATTATAACATATTTTCAATGGGTTGGTGTAGTCCAGGGACCGTTGAGAGTGTTGTGGAGATGTATGGAAAGAGAGAGAGAGAGAGAGAGAGAGAGAGGAATATGAAAAACAGGGAATAATAAGTTCATACTCACCGCATGCTGGAGTACTTTCCAGCTGCTGCCAACGCGGAGGGTTTGCTTCACGCAGGCTACAACGATCTCCTTGTCATTCTCCAGAATGCTCACAGCACGTTCGGCAGTCAGCCGTACGTCCGGGCTGTCTGTCCAGCAAGACAGTATCAAATTGCGCCTGGGCAAAAGCCAATCAAACATTGATCATTCAGTCCATGCATGAATTGTTGAATTTGAAGACTATACGACAACATGCCCGTTATCACTTCAGTTCCATGAATACCTTCTGGTGAAGATCTCTACTCTTGCGCTTGTCTGAGAATGGAAGCCAAGCAGCATGACCCTTAAAAAAAAAGCATTGAGTAACATTCTGTATTGCAAATGGCCTTCGTGGTAGCTCTGGATTTCATGCCACGGTCTCTAAGTTGCCTATGCGTCTAGACTGAGGAGCAATACTATGCCGTCCCATCCAGTTGGGCGTTTCAATAGCTCAATAGACCCAGTGCGGCTACAGTGGGCACTGGAAAACTCTACAAGCAGATGCCGCTCCAGTCTCATAGCCATGCACATTCATACTGGCTGCAGATTGTTTTCACTACACCAGCAGCCGATTAATAATGGTGGTAAAGACACACCTGGCAATCTGGCGGTAAATACACGCCTGCCCACACACGCTCTCTGGGCTGCAAAGTTCTGGCACAGAGCTCTCCTTCTCACCACCACCACAATCAGTTCGCCAGGCGTGTCTTTACCACCATTATTAATCAACCATAAGTACAGCTGCAGTGGTGTCTTCAACTTCATACACCAGCAGTCGTTACTCAACAAATCCATTCAACAGTTCCTTCCTTATAACCCTATCTTGAACGACTTTCACAGTTGACTTACAGCTTTTGCGGGCACTTTTCCGGTATCTCGAGCTTGCCTCCCTCACGGATGTGTTGAATAACTTCGGCATTGCTTTTGCCAGGGAATGGCTGTGCACCGAAAGTAATCACTTCCCACATCACCACGCCAAAGCTCCACATGTCGGACTTCACGTCGAATCTGCCATCGAACAAAGACTCACGGGCCATCCAGCGAACAGGCAGCGGTGCTGAGGAGACAGAGCAAATCGACACACGGATTCCAACGTGATGCCTTGAGAAGTGCCGTGCAGGGTAGTACAGAGACAACGTGAACAGGGTGGCTATGTTGTGTCGGCAGGGGTCATAACTTTACATGGAAAGGATCTCCAGTTTTTTTGTATTGTATTTTATTATTTTACTTGGGCATTCCCAACAGACCCTAAGGTCTTCTTACAGGGTGCCCAAACCAGTTCTCTACACTGACTTTGGCATACGTGCTATGCACAGCTCAATATTAGTACCTTGTCAGTTTGAGCATGCTGACAAGGTACATTCATTACCACTTTCATACTGCATCTTGATTTTACACATGCACTTTTCTGGGTTTCTTGTCCAGTGTATGATTTATTGTATTTTAATCCATTGTGTTAATTTTTGCCCGTAAAAGAGGCCCGTAAAAAACAAACAAATAATCTACGTGGAGATAAAAGTTTAATAGTACAGTCAGACCTCGCTTATCCGGTCCTCTTTTATCCGGATCTCTCGCCATCCGGAAGAAAATCGTTGGTTACCGATTTACAGCACATGTCATGCATACATACAGTATGTGTGTTCGATTATCCGGTTCTCTCGCCTATCCAGATACTTTTGTGGGAAACGGATGTGTGCGGTTATGCGAGGTCTGACTGTAGCTATGAAAAGTATGAATGCCGCAGACATCACCACGCAACATGAAACTTTGTTCAAGGTTTGAGATTGTGTGTTTCCAGAATCGATTTTCAAGCTCCGATCATCAGTGGAAGTACGGAACTAAAGTGATCAAGTGAAAAACAAAAAAGTAAAAAAATAAATTGTGATTACCTCACTGCTACCAGGTTCGGCCTTTTTTCTCTCTGCTGATGGGTTCAGAAAGGACAAAGCAGTACTGTTCGCATATTGAGGCATCATCAACAACAAAGGGCTCGGTGAGGTTGTTGTTGTTGTTGTTGTTGTTGTATTTTAATTCGCAGAATCAAACGGGCAGGCCCACCGACATGAGAGCGAATGCGTATTGCACGTGCATATAGACATCATAGAAGCGGGGTTATAAGAGAATGCGAGGAGGTGAAGTTCAGAATTTAGGTTTGGGAGGCAACCCTGTTCTGATTGTAGTTCATAACCCACCTTCTCCTTTGATGCGGTAGTAGTCACTGTTTGCCATCCGCCGTGACATTCCAAAGTCGCCAATCTTTACCAGATAGTTGACAGTGACCATGCAGTTCCGTGCCGCTATATCCCTGCAGAGGGTAGCGCCATTTGCATACAGAAATCAGAAACACACAACTGTACAGTTCTATTACATCATGCACGGTCAAAAAACCCGTCCGAGGGTCACAGGAGCCAAATGAGCCTTGGCGCTGTTTTCGGCACACGGGTTGGAATTCTTTGGCCACGACTGTGGTATGTATTATCCTCGAACCATATAATTATGCATGCATGCTAAGTCAGCCAGACAGACTCGCTCACATAGTGATTTAAAAGAATGTATGGCATGAACACCCGGTAAATCACCATTGCTTCTCAGATGAACAGGGCATGTACACTGACGTCATGACCGGCATCATTGGACTACTGGAAGACCGCTAATACTAACGAAAATCTAATTCTGACATTTTAACGAATTAAAAACATCGTTAAAATTTGAAGTCGTTATGTGCAAAACGATAATTTTGTTCATATACAGTCATTTGCCGGTTTTGACGAACAGAATTTGTCCGCATTTTACCTCGCTAACCCACAAAAATTCGCAGATCGCTAACTTTAATTGACGTTGAATGATCTGGTCTTACAGTAATGTATTGGCTCCTGTTGGTTACTGGGTGTGTGATCACAGCATTGGTGCAGTGCAATGGCCAGTCTCCTCACTGGTCTACGCCCCACCCCACTGCTGTAGCCACAGCAATGTGACAGCATCATAGCCGCAAGACATGACGTCATTATCCTGACATCACAATCATGATTGAATTGTCATGACTCATTGATCTCATAATCATGACATCATGGCATGGCATGCACTATCAGTTGTGCAATGTGCACTCACCTATGTACAAAGTTGATACTCGACAAGTATTCCAGGCCACTGGCAACTTGCCGCACCACCGATGTCAACCGCCGTCGACAGAGTTCGCTCTGTCACCAAACAAAAAATAGATAAGAAATGTTGGTTGTCGCCAACGTTAAAACAGAAAGGACATATTCACATGTTATCCGTAACCTTTATTAGCACAGACTATGGCCCCAGTGAGCTTCCATCATCTCACTGATCAATGACAGGCCCGCCAGAACCACTACGGTTGGTCAGGTCATCGCCGGACTGACGTTTTGGCCCCCAAACGTGTTCACTGCTGAGGAGGTTATGTGAAATAATATTTCTCGGTTCGCTTGAGACTGAGTTAGACTGAGTTTTCAGCATACACAGGAACGCCACCATCCTGCAAAGACCTAAGGTGTAGATGCAGTTCCTATGGCGGTGGGAGGTGAGTAGATCTGCCCACCAGCAAAGTGGTCGAAACAGCACGGCTGGAAAATATCCTTCTGCTTCCAAGCAAGATTCGAACCTGGTACCCTCTGTTTCTCAATCATGGTCTTACTGCCATCGCACTTTGTCATGTGTAAAAATTCACTGTTCGCGTGAGACTCGGCTGAAGGCCCAGTTTTGCGCATCCGCAGGAACGCCACCACTCTTCAAGGATCAAGGCGCAGATGCAGCTCCTAAGCGGTGGGAGGTGAGTAGATCATCCCACAACAAAGTGGTCAAAGACCGAAAATCCCATTCGCTGCATCTATGTTTCCCTCCATGTTTCCCTCGTGCCAGGCCACGAGTTCCCAATTTACTGCGGGTCACAGCACGGAGTATTAGCCGCAACCCCCGTTTTCGGGGGTGAATTTTGAGTGTTCAAAGTGCGGCATATACTCCAGAAAATACGGTACCTCCTCTCCATTCCTTACCGGGTCTGCAGTCCCACACAAGTGCCGATGAGAGAGCAGAAAGGCTCTGAGGTCGCCATGCATCATCAGCTCCATCACCACATAGAACGGCTCCTCTTTCGTGCAGAACCCGATCAGTTTCACGATGTTGGTGTGGTCGAATTGGGTCATCATTTGTCCCTCCGCCAGGAACTCTCTCTGCACGGCAAGGAACAGCATGACAGTACAGCGAGGATTGGTACGTTCAACCGGCCGTTATGCAACTACACATGTAAGTTTTGGAAGGCTGAAGAGGTGCATACAGGACAAAGCATGCAGGCATACATGTTCTTGGAAGACCAAAGAGGTGCATACAAGGACAAAGCACACACGTGTGTTCATGGTAGACCGAAGAAGTTCATACAATTACAAAACAAGCATGCATGTGTGTTCTTGGCAGGCTGAAAAAGGTGCATGCACAGACAAAGCATGCATGCATGCTCTCCGTAGACTGAAGAGGTGCATACAGTCAGACAAAGCTCGCATACATGTTCTTAGAAGATTTAAGAGGTGCATACACAGACAAAGTATGCATCATTGGTGTGAACGCATGTTTTTGATAGACTGAAGAGATTCACACACAGGGCTGACAAAGCACACAAGGTGCAGGCTGACCTTCTCGACAATCGTTGCATCACTGTGAAGAGTTTTAACCGCGACGGCAACACAAGACGGCTCTTGCGATTCGTCAACTATGTCTCCGCCGTATACAGCACCAAATGCACCTATCAGCACAGAATCAACAGCGCACAGAACATCACAAGAGCAATCAGCTGCAGTAGCATATCGCTAACTATAAACTTTTACAACGGTCAGTATAGTGGGCTATAGTAGGACATCAGCTATCAGTGAACCTCGGAATTGAGGACCCTTTCTGTCTGAGGCCTCACACAGCGGCGGATCCAGCGATCTCTGCAGGGGGGGGGGGGGGGGGTTCCAGTCTAGTCAAAACTGAAAGTCGTTGCGACAAACCGATCAAAATCCGTTCCACTGTCTTACTCAGATCGTTCACGATAGTGCACTATTCTGATGTTTTGGACCCTTGAAATTTGACAAATGCGTTGGCTTCTAAATGGGGTGCTGTCTCTCTTATACCCTCACCCGCCTCTGGCTGGAGGTCAACCTGTTCAGAGTTCTACTCACAGAAAAATGGCAGCCCTGCAATGTTATTTCTTTAGATTCCAGTTGACTCAAGTCAATGAAAAGTCCAGACTGAACTTGCTGGCTGGTTGCCTCACATTCTCACTCCCTACCTTCTCCAAGACGCCGGTTAATGACAATATTCTCGCGTGCGATCTCCCACTTGCTGGCGATCTGCTCGGGAACAACAAACTCCTCTTCTTCTTCTGGCTTGGTGTGCTTAGCAATGGCATTCGACAGCTTTCTAGAGTACCTGAGTCAACGGCAAGGACAGCGAGAGAGAGAGACGGAGAAAGCTCCTGGGAGATCACGCAGTGCATGGTTTACAACACTGTTCATTTGTACCATACACATAAGGGAAAACCCCCAGGTAGCAACATACACCAAACAGAAGCTGACGAATTTTCCAAAATGGGGTTGGTATCCTTCCAATCTGCACTACGTACAAGACCTGGTGTCAGTAGCCCTTTGTGGATCATGCCGGCAGAGAAATTGGCAGAATTCCGTACTTGTTTTTGGAGTGTTTCATGCATGTTTGGTATGTAGATGAAGAAATGGAGCAGAACTCAGGAATGTACCTGCCATAAGATGTCTATGGTACTGTACTGCCAATTTCACTGCTTTTCGAGCGGAATATGGCAAATTTTGTTACCATCATCCACCAAGGGCTATTAAAGTTTTGGGTACTCTCTCAGGCTGCCCGTTTTGGAGCCATCAGTTGCCTGATGATCGTAGTACTTGAATACGTGAAACTCAGAGTTGCGACACAGCTTCCAATCTCTCTTGTGTAGTACTCTCTTATATAGGACCGAAGGGCGTCAGTAAGCCTGAACAGGTCACAACTCAAAATTCTGTGCATTTTGATGCGTCATACTGACGGCCACTGCACAAAGATTGGTGGCAGTGCATCCTGCGTGCAGAAGTAAAAAACACGCAACGCTCGACTGACGCAGAAAGATGACCAGTTTAAAAGAGAGTTGGCCCGTATATGTGAGGTGAAGATAAGCTAGGGAAAGTTGACGTCATCTTACACATATCTGCGGAGAGCATGAGTTTGGGCATGACTAAGTCAAGTGCGGCTGCTGTCGCATGATCGCAAACAAACAAACTTTCCGACTTACCAGACCTTCCAGATCCCGGCCATGATAATCAGCACCAAAAGCATGGCTGCAACACGAGGAGAAGAAAGATCAATCACCACAATGAATACAGCAACTATGCTCCCGACTGAGCGTTCTACTGGCCTTCTCTCCTGTCCAGGATTCTCTCTTCGTCAGTTACACTCAAGCAAGCTCCAGAAGTCTAAGTGTGGGCCACTAAGGTTCACTACTCGGACTGCGAGCCAGTCTACATCCCAGTAGTCGGATTGCAGGCAAAGTCATCATGTCTGGACAGTGCTGTGTTGTCAAGCATGATCAAACACGCACACATGCACGCACGCACGCACACACATCCTGGAGTAATGTGCTCGGTGAAAATCAAAATAACCACCACGCCACCTGGTCCAATACTCTAACAATTATGTGACTTACATGTGGTCATGAGGAAGGCCAACCCCCCTTGACATCCGCCCATATTCTCTTTCAGAGCTTCCGGAACGAAAGTACACCCTCCCCTGAGACCTGAAACAGCAGCAGCAGTGGAAACAACATTGCACGCGTACACATCACGCACGTACACATGCACAAACACACACATACACACAAGACATTGAACGTACTGCCATCATTGAACCCTGCATCAGTCTTCATCAAGCCCATCATTGTTATTACATGTGACATCACCGCATTGCAGTTACCGGTACTAATTCACCGGGGAGGGGTTATCCTACAGTAATACATTTTCTCAACGTTTGACAGCTTACCGCCTATCTGGATGTTATCAAAGGAAAGGGTATCATTGGGAATGCCGCATGCTTGCGGCCATGTCAGTTTGTCGTAGAACAATTCAGGCATTAACTGTCCAGGATGCAGATAACCGACCGTCACCGGGACTCCATTTTCACCGCGTTGATAGTACACCCCTAGTGCCTGAAACCACACATGGGAGAAGAAAGGTAACGATAGGGAAGAAGGCAAGGTTTTACCCTCCCAGCTTCACACAAGTTACCTGCTGTATTTTCGTGATCTCTCGCTCACACACGCGCGGACAGACACACATAGGCACATGCACGCACTCGCGCGCACACACAAACACACACACACACACACACTCTCTCTCTCTCCACAACCCCCTCTACTGCCCCATCCTTTCACCACATGTTCACCTTCAAACCCATCCCAACCGACACGTGTTTCTTTGCACAGGGCAGTGCGAGAGTGCACAAGCTAGTCAGCAATGCTTCCTGTCACTACAGACCTGCAGCTAGCTACCTCTGTGCTCCAAACTTGGCTAGAGGAAGACTCATACCTAACATGGCAATACTGCAGGACCAGATATTTTAACGTCAAATAAAGTTAGCGATCTCTGGATTTTTGTTGGTTAGCGAGGTGAAATGTTACCGAATTCTGTCTCTCAAAACCAGTAAATGACTGTACATGTACATAATATTATTATCCTTTTGCACAGAACAACTTCAAATTATAACGAATATTTTAATCACACAGTCATTGCAGCTCTGTACTGGTCTGGTCGGTTGCGACGGCGTGAAGTTCTGCGCAATCTCCGGGTAGCTAGTGTTGATGAGCTTCTTGAAGGCCTGGTTGCCTTCCCTGTCCAGGGTCATGAACGTCTGCTTCTCGTTGGGCAAGAAGTAGACGTGCCCAGAAAGACCCTGGAAGTTCAATTTCCCCATCAGATAGATGTATAGCCACCGCAGACCTCGCCTGCACCATAGGAATAGAAAACGTAGACTTAGGTTTATC